TAAGATCTTGGTATCAGGGAGAGAAAGCGGCCTGCTAACAAAGATAAATTAGATCCCTTTACCTAGGAGTGCTGTTGGGATCGTAGCTTTCCCCTTCTAGCCCAGCTAGAAGTACGACTTCGCTTCCTGTTTTATAGCAAAAATAGTGCCATCGAATGGGAACTCCTTCATCTTGCTGACGATGACGGCTCATTCTTGTATTTGTGCCCGTTCTCTTTCTCCTCCTCGCCTGTTACGTAGAGGGGTTTTCCTTCCTTCCTTCCTTCCGCCCGTGCTTGGAGCCCAGGCCCTCCTGCACTCTCCCCACTGGCTTTCAAACACTCTTGCTTTGGTCTCTTCCCCTTGACCCTCCTGCCTCTAGTCTGTCCTGTCACACTCGTCCACATTACAGCCAGATGGTCCAGTTGTTGTTACTTCCTTCTGCGCTTTTTGGCCATTTGTGTGTCGTCTTTGGAGAAGTGTCTGTTCAGACCCTTCGCTCATTTTTTAATTGGGCTGTTTGTCTTTTTATTGTTGAGTTGTAAGAGTTTTCGTATATTCTGGATATTAGACCCTCATCACATATATGACTTGCAGATATCTTCTCCCATTCAGTGGGTTGTCTTTTCACTTTTTTAATAGTGTCTTTTGACACATAAAAGTTCTTATTTTGATCGCGTTCAATTTTTCTATTATCTTGATGCTTTTTGTGTCATATCTAAGAAATGACTGTCTAATTCAAGGTCACACGGACTTTCACCTGTTTTCTTCTAAGAGTTTTATAGTTTTAGCTCTTCTGTTGAAGTCTTTTGATCTATCTTGACTTAAATTTTCGTTTATGGTGTGAGGTTGGTGTCCAAATTCATTCTCTTCCGTGTAGATATTCTCTTGTCTTAACGTGAGTTGTTGAAGAGACTCTTCTTTCCCCATTGAATGGTCTTGGCGCCCTTGTAAGAAATCAGTTGACTATAAATGTATGGGTTTTAAGTTCTTTCTTTTTAAATGTTTAGGAAATCTACAGTGTAAAGTAAAACTATTTCTGAGAAGTGAAATGTGGCAGTTGTTACATACCACTGAGTTTGGGGTTGTTTGCTGTCATAGCAGAAGCTTCCTAATCCAGTATTCACAGACGTTCTAAGTAATTTAGTCTTGTGCAATGCAACGCTTGTTTAAGAACAAATATGTAAATGGCAAGTTGAGCGCTAATATCACCTAATAGCATTTGTTTGTGAGAGTTGAGTTATGTGATTTAGAATGTCACCGTGAAGTTCATACCTGAACTTCATCCATCTGAATTTCATACCTTCAAGGATTATGTACCTGAGGCAAGCAGAGTGCTCTGCACAGTCCTACAGCTGGTTAATAGCAAGGCCAGGATGTCAGGCTGAGGCCTGCCCACACGTTCTTGCTGCGATTGCTGTGTAACTATGAATGTAAGGTGTTACCTGGGGTCGTCTCAAGCAGCAAGATGTCTGGGCTAATTCTGGCTCTAGGTAAAGAAGCAGATGGTTTTCACTGAGTGGCTGTGAAATTACAGTTTGGTAAGAAATCCTCTTATCTGACACTATCAGAGCAGGTGTCTGGGTGATTAATTAAGAAAGTCAGTTTTTACAAGTACTCAAGGGATGGTGCTCGAGTCCTTAACGTTTTATTTTCAGTCATACATGTGTACATTTATTCTGCATTGATGTGACGCCAAGCTCTTCTCTCTGAAAATTCGTCTGCTGATTCGATTTCTAGATTGTCCTTTAAGTCGGTGAGAACCCTAAGGCATCTGCAAGGAATCTGGTATAGGATCCTTCAAGATTTGTGTGACCCTCCTTCCAGCTGCCCTACCTGGTTCATGGTCATGTGATACATAATTGAGGAAAAATTGTCTTATCAATTTCTCAGCGTCGAGTCTTCACAGAGCATCATAGTTTTCATGAGAACAGTTATCTTCTTGCACTTATATTTTGTTGGTTTATATAATGTTTAATAAAATTCTGTAATTTTGATGATAAGTACAAGTGACCTTAACAAGTTCGGGAATCATCACATCTGATTCTTGATGACTAAACAGCTCAGCTAGTAGCAGAGTCATAGGTGCAATGGACAGTAACCTGCTGGCTGTATGCATGTCTGCCTACCAGGGGCATCAGAATGTTACAAAGGGAGATGGCATAGCGAACCTGTGAGACCAGTACTTGGAAGTTGGTTTTGAAAGATTCTGAACATCTGTTCAGTGGAATACTCACATCCATATAAAATGTCAGTACAAGTTTATATGTATTATGGAAAGACATGGGAGTTATATCTCTATATGGGGAAAAGTAGCTTAGAAAAGGCTTATTAAGAGTGTGTGTGTGAACACAGGAAGAGGTCTGGGGTTTCGCTGAAGATGGTGACGTATGAGGATCCTGAACTCACCTCCTCGCATGGACACACGAAATCGACAGCTACTTAATGGAACAACCTCCTCTGAGAAAACCCCCCAAAACTAGCTGAGCAACTCCTGCACATCTGGCAAACAAGAAAAAACCCACATCAGAGTGGGTAGGAGAGGCTGAGACACAGTCTCACCATACACCCCTCTGCCAGTGTGGTGACCCACAATCAGGGGGAACTCCCATCCCAGGCTGCTCCCCGAGGAGCAAAGGGTGTGAACCCCACCCCTGGCACCCCTACTTTCAAGACTTGCACCTGGGAGATGAGCCCCCAAAACATCTAGCTTTGAAAGTCGATGGAGCTGGCATCTGGAAGACCCATGAGGCTACAGTGACCTGAGAAACAGTTCTTGAAGGGGCAGCATGAACTTACCCTCCCCAGGGCCTGACACAGACACAGCAACTGAAAAGGGCCCAGACTTGCTGTGAAAGAGGCTTGTTTATCTTAAAGCATCGGCCTGAGGGGCAGGCTTCTAACCTCGCCCACATCTGGGGGCTTGGAGGCCAGCGGGGCCATCTGTGCTCTCTCCTTGCTCCGCTCAACAGTATCTCCTGGAAAGGAACGTGTGTACTTGGTCTGGCGCCCTGATTTTTGCAGCTGCTGCCTGGGGACACCTCTTAGGTCACCTGGCTCTGGTGGCCAGTGAGGTTTACACTTGTAGGTCCCCAGTGTTCATTGCAGTATTATTTGCAATAGTCAAGATGTGGAAGCAGCCTAAGTGTCCATGGATGGATGAATGGATAAAGAAACTGATACACACACCACACACTGGGATGTTATTCAGCCACGAAAAAGAAAGAACTCTTGCCCTCTGTGGTGGCAACGCGGATGGACCTTGAGGGCGTTAGTGCTCAGTGACATAAGTTAGAGAAAAGATGATCATGGTCTCACTTGCGTGTGGGATCTAAAAAGCAAAGCAAGAAAAAATGGACCCACAGGTACTGTTCACATGGGTGGTTACCAGAGGCAGCCGGTGGGGAGTGGGCAAAATGGGCGAAGGGGGGCAGATGGTACAGACTTGCAGTTAATTAGGTAAGTAAGCCTGGGCATGTGGTGTACAGCATGGTGACTGTCGTTAATACCGTGTTGTGTATTTGAAAGTTGAAGGGAGTGAACCTTTTTTTTTTTTCAGTCTGTTTAGAAAAGTCATTAAACAAAAACAACTACGATAAACAGCAACAAATCCTAGGCAGCGGAGAGTTGGTACAATTATTATCACCCAAAGTGCATAATTTACATTAAGATTCATTCCTGGTGTTGTACATTCTATGAGTTTTGACAAATGGATAGTGACCTGTATGTACAGTCACAGTGTTGTATGTAATAGCCCTAAAGCCCCTCTGTGCTCTGCCTGTCCATCCTTTTCTCCCTCCAACCCCAGGCAGCCGCTCATCTTTTTACTGCGTCCATAGTCTTGCCTTTTCCAGAATGCCATATAGTTGGAATCCTATAGGATATACCCTTTCCAGATTAGCTTTTTTTCACTTTGTAATCTTAAAAGTTCTCATAGCGAGAAAAGGAAATGTGTAATGGTGTGTGATGGATTTTAACTAGACTTACTGTGGTGATCATTTTATAATAGATACAAATGTGGAATCATTATGTTGTGCACCTAAAAGCCATATAATGTTATATGTCAACTGTATCTCAATTTAAAATATAATTTATATTTTAAAGAGAAAGTCAAAAAAATTCTGGAAGGATGTGAATCATGATGTTAAATAGTGAGAAAAACATTAATAGTGCCTATCTGTAGAGCATCAGGACTGAGTGATTTTTTTTTTTTTTTACTCTCTGTCTTTTGTGTCATTATAGCCCACCCTCCTTCTCCTCGGGTTCCACATCTGTGGATTCGACCAACCATGCATCAGAAATATTTGGAAAAAAAAAGTCCAGAAAGTTTCAAAATGCAAAACTTGAATTTGCTGAATTGGCAACTGTTTACCTAGTATTAACATTGTATTTACAATTATCTGCATAACATTTACATCTTATTAGGTATTATGTAATCTAGAGATGATTTAAAGTATACGCAAATACTGCGCCATTTTATATTAGGGACTTGGGCATCCCCAGATTTTGGTGTCCTAGGGGGTCCTGGAACCAGGCCCCCATGGATGCTGCGGGATGGCTGTATTTCTTTGTTGGTTGAAAGTTTCACAGAGAACATTTGTTACTTTTAAAACTAAGGGAAAAGGAACAATTTCTGTTTTGTGAGGAGCCTATTTAACGTGTGTAGTTAAAAAAAATTAAATCCCTTGTAGAATGTAGGCGACAGGAGAGAATGCTCTTGGTCAGGGGCCACCCTCTTGGCGCCTTGATAGTGCACAAGCACCTTTATGTCACGTGTACTGAAAAGGACTTTCTCCCAACGGCAGTAGCCTTTCAAATCAGTAGAATGGCGTTTATCTCTTATTCTTTCTCTCCTTTTATTTCTGTGTGTAAAATGTGATATCGTTGCAGTAATTCTTTTTTCTGGTTTTATTTTCAGGAAGACTTCGATGTCGATCACTTTGTGTCCGACTGTCGGAAGCGGGTCCAGCTGGAAGCACTGAGAGATGACCTGGAGCTCTACTATAAGCTGCTTAAAACGGCCATGGTCGAGCTCATCAACAAGGACTATGCAGACTTCGTCAACCTGTCAACGAACCTGGTAAACTTTAAATCCAGAGTTCCTACCAGTCAGTGTATTTATATACGTACTACACACTCTCTTTCTCACTCATGTTTATTCTTAAAAGTGCTGAGTGTTTTTAGAAACCTTTTAGTTGATTTTTCCCCCAGAAACTTGGAGAGATTACTAATCTTATTAATAAAAGAACTAAACTTTCTTGATACACTTTTTTTGTTTTGAGTTTAGTTTGATTATATTTTGAATGACTTATTAAGAAGTAGTGAAAAGTAAAGGATAACCATCTCAAGAGTGGTTGTTTTTGTTAGTTGCTAAGTGATTACCATGAAATCTCACTGGTTTAGACTAATTTGCTAGAGCAGATACCAACTATTCTTAAGGAAGTGCTTAATTTACTTTCAGGTACTGTGCTAGCCAGACATAGGTTGAGGAAACGTTGGCCAATATTGACCTTTAGGTGGCCTGGTTTTATAAAAACATAGGAATGGTTTGTGAGAAGCGCATCAGTTACTTGGAAAAGTTGTTTAGAAATGCTTGAGTTTTAATACTGGGAAAAGTCTTCTTGTTCATACTTTATTTTGTTGTTAAATCTGTTTATCCAGAGAAGTATAGAAAGTCGCCATCTCCATGGGAATTTCAGGAAGCATTAAGAATAACGAGCTGTGTTTGCTTTTGGGAAGTACACCAGTAAGATAAATGCTCCAGTAGGATTAGAAACCCTGAAAATTTTATTTCCATTCTATTTAATTTGTATTTTTCTCAAAGGCTCTAATAATACTTAGGAGAGATATAGCTCATCAGACTTTCACATCAGCTGGCTGAACATCATAAGTACAGAGATAGCTATTTTTCCTGTTAAAGTTTTTTTAATTCATTTAAAATTTCATCCAGAGGCAAACTGTACACGAGGAATCTTTGATTTATTACGACTTTCCCTATTTGCATAGTTTCATGTATATCAACAGATTTTTTCACTTTCTGTGAGCAATATTTGTGGTAAGATAGCATTTCTGTTATTTATCTAGTTATTAGCAATATGTGATTGTACGGAAAGAATAACCTAAGTCTAGTACTGCTTTGCTCGTTAAACAGAAGCTTCACTGTCACTCCTGACTCTGACGTGCTTGTGCCAACATGATTTTGCCTTTAGGTTGGCATGGACAGAGCCCTCAGCCAGCTTTCTGTGCCTTTGGGACAGTTACGGGAAGAGGTTCTGGTAAGTCCCCAGGTGCCGGTAAACAGTCTATATGTATAAACCACGTTACGCTCGTTTGCCTTCTCCAAGAAGAACTCCTTTAATGTGTTAGGTTGTTGTGGTGGTGGTTTAATGGTCCATGATTATAGTACTCACCTTCAAAACTGGTGAAGATGATTCTCTACTTTTTGCATGTGATATTACAGACTAAAAACGTGTTTGGTTTGAAGACGACAGATCGTCAAAGAGTAGACACTTTTAAATGTCAGGGCGGAAAAGAAGGGTATTTCAAAATTTAACTTGTTAATACCACCTCCCCCATCTGTAAGTGGTCTCCAACTTAGAACTGGCTGACGTATAGTTTAAAATTTGTAATTTTACAAGTGTTTTCCCAGACAGTGTTTTACATGTGGTTAGGTTCCTGGACCAGTCTACAAAAGCTGTTCAACCCCTGTATGTAACTGAAGGATAATATAAATATCATGTAACGCCTAGTTTCTGGGAGAAACTCTCTCCCGTGGGAATGGGAGTGTAAGCCTTGAGGACAGGGACCCCATCTGGATGAACAGTGGAGCGGGAGTTTTGGCATCACCTCTGACAGGAGACCGTGTGGCCTGCCCTCCCCTCACCCACTCATCTGTGCTAGGCACCCCGGCCTCCATTGTCCCTTAGTTGTGATGCACTGCACCATCGCTTCCTGTGTGTGTCACCACTGGACCACGCCAGACCAAGTGGCCTCATGCACCTTGCCCCCGAGACAGCGCCTGGCACGTGCGAGGCTCTCAGTAGGTAACGTAGGTAAAGAGGCCCTGCCTGGAGAGAACTGAAGGAAGTGCAGGGTAATGGGAGTGTCAGAGCTGAGAAGTCCCGAGGAGGGGAGGGGTAGGCGGGAAAGACTTCATAAGAGAGATAAGTGTTGAGCTGTGCCTTGAACTAGCAGATGTGTTTGAAAGTGTATGTTTTTGAATTTTACAAAAGCTCATTACAGTGCTTTTCCTTGGAGTGGAAGGAAAGGGGTTTGTGGCCCGCTGCTGGGCTGCGCGGCAGCTTCTGCGTGGCTCTCCTGCCTCCTCCTCGGTGCTCCCTCACCTCCCAGCCTCGTGGCTGGCGTCTCCTGGGCCTCAGCCTGTGGTAACCTCCCACTCTTCTCTGTGCGCTCTCTCCGCTCTGCTGACCTGTGCTTTGAACTTCCTGGGTTGCTCTCACGCCTCCGGGCTCTAGTCCAGCCCTGCCACCTGCCCGTACCACGTCGCCTCCCTTATTCTGCAGCTGTCTTTATAGCCACCTTTCTCCTCACCAGCCACAGACCTCACCTGCCTTTTTGACCTCAACTCACAACGCTGCTCTGAGATTCTATGATCATTGAGGGATAAGACTGTTTCTGTCTAATTCATCATTGTAGCCTCACTGGCTACCACGGTAGCTGACATTTAATAGACATTTCATAATGTTTATTGAATGAATGAATTCACCTCTCTATAAAGCTTTTGTGATTTATGTAGTTTATTCTGATCGTTTCCATTACCTTCATTTTGGCCTCAATTCTTCATACTTGGCTTAATTTATTAGCTTCTGGACATGTTTCTCCACCTATGACCTCTGGCTTTTCCTGGCCATTCTGTTCCTTACTTCTTGATTCCTGCCATCCCCCAAGCAGCATTTCATCAGGAAATATCAGTGCTTCGGGATTCTCTAGTTCCCTAAAATGTGTAGAATCTAAAGTCCTCCTAAATCAACCCCTCCCTGTTTATTTCTACTCCTGCAAAATGAAGCCTGCAGTGCACCCGGGTGCATGCCTCACCCACCCTGAGTGTGCGCCGTCAGTTGTGTCTTCCCACCTTTGTCTTCTGATAACCTCCTCTCCACCATCGTCAGCTTCCACAGGTTCTCAGGGTCAGACTCAAGTCCCATCCCCTGTGCCAGACTCTCCTATCCTTTGATTCAGATGATTTCTTGAACGACATTGACGGTACATGTATTATTATTCCTTCGGCCGTTAATCCTCCATAACCTTGGCTTTATATGTCATTTTGCCCCCAAACCATGAGTGCCCTCGACAGCAGTTGTATCTGATATTATGTATTTTTGTCAATATCTGCATAATACCGGCCCGAAGATAAAATTAAGTTCTGTGGAATTTAATTAAATGTGTAAGTTTCGTAATGTCACAAAACAGTTTCTGCTGTATGTTTTCTTTATTCTTTTAAAGAGTCTTAGGTCATCTGTCAGTGAAGGAATTCGGGCAGTAGATGAACGAATGTCTAGACAAGAGGACATTAGGAAAAAAAAGGTAGGTTGCACATGGCTTCATGGTAGCACCTTGGAGTTAACGGCACTTACGCGCATGTGGTCTGATTTATTTCTCTTGGTACCTTGGCAGAGAGGAAGTGTGGGGTCTCTCCTTATTTTTGGGCATCAGTGTTCAGCAAAGTTCGCGAGGGGTCGAGCCAGAGCTGGAGCCCAGGTCTTCTCACTCCTGGGCTGATTAAGGTCCTGTTAATAAGAGAGGTGTGCTAAAGTAACTAATAAAAGAAAAAGACAAAGAAAATCGCGTATTCTTCTCATGCGTTAAGTTATTCATGACGGCATTAAAACTTTTAAAGAAAACTGTAGATTTCTTATGCTGCATGCCAGCTAAAAGCCCTTCCCTCATGTCTTCTCACACTTTTCAGTACTATGAAAGTGGTTTTTCTCAAAGCCTTTTTCTATGTATCTATATATACTTACGCTTATAATGTCATGTCAACTGTTTGAAATAGTAAGACAGAATTTTAGATGTACCCAAGTGGTCACAAAATTAACATTCCTCAATTTTTCCAAAAGAAGAAACAGTAATAACTGGTATTCGTGAAACACTTTACAGTTTAACAGGCATATAACTAATTTCTCAGCACCCCTATAAAGAAAATATTAAAATTTTAGACATTAGGGAGTAAGTGGGCTTTCTAAGACCGACTCTTCCAATGTTCTGCTGCAGGTTGAAAAACTAGTGTGTTGCTCTCATTCTGCCACGTTTATTTCTTCTTTTGTTTCCACTTGTTAACTGTACCTCTGCATGCACTGCTTTTACATTTTACTGGTCCTGTGTTTTAATTTTATTATCTGACTTGAAGGATGTAATGGCAGAGTTAGGATTAGAATTTGAGGCTTGATTCTAGCCTGGTGCTCGGTCAGTGTGTTCTAGATTTATTAGCATATTTTTCAAAATCTCAAGGGAAAGAAGCCTATTTTGAAACCTTCTGTTTAATTCTTTAAATATCAGCTTTCGTCCAAAGATTTCAAGAATGCAGTGCCTTTCTAGAAAAGATTGTAAGCTTTGTGAGAGCAGGGAATTTTTGCCTGTTTTATTCACCCATGTCCTCGCTGTCTAGAAGAATGTCTGGTGCACAATAGGTGCTCAGGAACTATTTGTTTAATTTTTTTTGTCTTTTTTTAAAATTAATTTTTATTGGAGTATAGTTTCTTTACAGTGTAGTGTTAGTTTCTGCTGTGCAGCAGAGTGAATTAGTTATACATATATCCATCTTCTTTCGATTTCCTTCCCATTTAGGTCACCACAGAGCATTGAGTAGAGTTCCCTGTGCTGTACAGTAGGTTCTAGTAACTGTTTGTTTAACGAATGACTTCCTTTTTGTTCTTTTAAGGATGAGAGTTTTTATAATATTCCTCAACCTCTTTGATAATATTTATTGTGTAATAATGTCTTTAATGAATTGACGCTTAGGCATATAATTGTGTCGTATACATGTAAATAGGATAAAGATGATCGGAAACTAAAATTAAAACATGAGAAAAGGGTCATAAGAAAATAAATGTAGTGCTTATACAGGGGTTCATAAGATGGGGAAAAGAAAGAAGAAATAAAAATGCAGGAAATGAGAAAACAAAAAAAGTCTAGTTTTTCTTTTTTTAACTATTAACTTGTAATAGAATATTGAAATATGCTTCTTCTGGGCAGCTAAAATTAAGTTTTACGTTCTTGGGAATTCAGTGTTATGTAGAAGTATTCAAACTGTAGAGTGCTCCACACACTTTAAGGTGACTTTTGGCTGTGTATTTCCCTGCATTTAGAAAGGGGAAATAAGATAATTAAGATTAAACATCATGATAACTTCTTTTTGGCTTCATTTTTATTTTTATAGATATGTGTGTTGAGGCTTATACAGGTTATTCGATCAGTTGAGAAAATTGAAAAAATCTTAAATTCTCAACATTCTAAAGAAACATCTGCACTAGAAGCAAGCAGGTAAGTATTTTTTACTAAATATCACATAAATTAGTACTTCACACCCAGGCTACTTTTTTTTTTTAGTTAAAACACATTTCTGATAAAGAAGAAAAGCCAAGTCTATGGCTCAGTGTTTTTGAACGTAGCTTATGAAAAGTGGAGGGCATGAGATGGTCAAGTTTATAATACATCCTTCTAAAACCTTTGTGGTGATGGACCACTGTTCCAACACATCACCTTACAGGGAGTCAGAGGAGTGTGCTTTCAGTGGAAGATTTTTATCTTTGGAATCGCCTTATGTAAGCACTGGCAAAATCCTTTGACCTTCCAGGTATGGAATGGCTTTTATCTTTCATAAATTTATGTAGACATGCCCAGAGTATCACCATTCATGTATCTTGCACTAGCATTGTAGTGTTAAGAAACAGTATAGGACACATTTAGTTAAAATTTATAAACAAGGGAAAGAAACCTTGTGAAATTAGAAAAAAATGACCATTTCCTTTGTTACACTGTGACCGTCTTACTACCTTCCTAGTGTGAATTCTAAATCAGCCAGGTAGATGAGTGGCTCAGAAGATGAGTAGGTCACACCAGCACCGTGGTGCCTTGGGAGGAGCACAAGTTTGTGCTGCGTCTACCATTGGGCAGCCTGAGTCATGGCACCTCAGCTCCCTGTGTCATGGGCAGCGTAAGGCTAATAGGAACTCCGCTGGCAGGGCTGTCCGACAGCTCGGCAGCCCGCACCCGGCATGTCGTAGGCCTTCACACATCTAATTTGGGTCTGACAAGAGCTTCTCCTAAAGTCGCGTGGACAGCCGTAACATTCTTCCCTGAGTAATATTGGATAATCTGCTGCAAAGCCAACCAAAGCCAAATTGAATATACCTATACCAAAGTCTTACCACACGATAAAGGCATGTTGGATTTCTTAATTTTAGGGATCAAAATGTTACATTTGGGAGCACCTTAAAGGCAGTACGCTCCATATCTCTCAGTGTATAGACTGAGGAATGTGGCATCCAAGAAGGAAGTGATTCTCCTGTCGTGGGTCTCTACTTCCTTTCATAATCAAGATGTACAAACAAGTGGTCAGCACTTGCTGTCTCTGTCCCTTCAGCCCCCCCATCCTCGCGCTCCTGCCCTTACCTCCGCTGGCCAGGGTCTCCGCTGCCGTCCTTTCTGGCCCGTCCCTTCTGACCCGTCCGGTGGAGCCGTTTGTCTTGAGCTGCTCCACGTCTCTCTCACCCTCAGCAGCATTGGCAGCTCCTGCCAACTTGTCTGCACTCGACATCTGCCATACCTGCCTCCCTGTTTTCTTTCCACTTGGGTCCGTTCCTACTCTCTTCCTCACTGATGTCTTTTTCTATGATACTATTCCTTTGCGATGTTCCATCTTTTTTTTTTTTTTTCTCCTTTTTGGCCGCACCGCATGGCATGTGGTATCTCAGTTCCCCAACCAGGGATCGAACTGTGGCCCCCTGCAGTGGAAGCGCAGAGTCTTAACTGCTGGACTGCCAGGGAAGTCCCTCAATGTTCCATCTTCAATGTAATAGATATTATGCTGTTTCTTGCTCAGAATCACCTTTGAGTACTTTTTAAAATTCAGATCAGCAACTTTGAGCTGTAGAGAGAGGAAAACCAGGGCAATGTAAGTGAATGGTAACTACAGCATGCTTCTCAGTACAAGAAACGTTTAGATAATTTATAATTAATAGATCCATACTAGGTTACTCAGGAAAGAGGGATTAACCTTTTGGGTTGGTCTTGCAGGGGAATTGCTCTCCCTCTAAACTAGTTTTTTGTGTGTTTTTTTTTTTTTTTTTTTTTGCGGTACGCAGGCCTCTCACTGTTGTGGCCTCTCCCGTTGCGGAGCACAGGCTCCGGACACGCAGGCTCAGCGGCCATGGCTCACGGGCCCAGCCGCTCCGCGGCATGTGGAATCTTCCCGGACTGGGCCACGAACCCGTGTCCCTTGCATCGGCAGGTGGACTCTCAACCACTGCGCCACCAGGGAAGCCCTAAACTAGTTTGAATGCTACAGATCCAGGACTGGATAGACCTGAAATGGACAGCATTTCATTTCCTTGTGATGTGGACTTTTTCCCCTCACTCACTGATAGGTCACCATTAGATACAGGATGCCTCAAGAGAAGCCCAGCAGATGCCTCAGTGCCTTTACGTTTTTCTTCTTTTGCTATTTAGCTTCCCTTTGAGTGGTATTGTTGCAATGTATTTTAGAGGAAAGAAGTGCATTTATTACACTTTGTGGCAGATACACAATGAATGTCCTTTCACTAGGACCCAGAGAATACAGATCGACTGCTCTTTCAGCTCTTTGGTAAATGAAAATGTAGAGCTCTTCTGACTTACTTGATGTATTGCCGCTAGAGGGCCGCTTTTATTTTATCAAGGAGACAGCAGTGTTTGGTATTTTAGAAGTACTGGAGGTATTTTAGAGGAAGAGAGAATGAGACAGAGCAGTAGAAGGGGATTCAGGTGTAAATAATAGGATAGGGCAAGAGAGGGAAGGGAGGTTAAAGATGAAGAAGGCCATGGACAGGAGAGCCTGGGGGAGGAGGTGGAAACACCCGTCACACCCACAGTGGCCTGGTCCAGCTCCTGCTTCTTGCTTGGACCCTGTGGCTGAGGCCAGGCAGCGTCAGTGGCTTATACTGAAGTAGTTGCCCACTGTCCTAGAACGTGCTGTGCATGTGACTTGTGAAAGCTGGTGGCACGAAGGATGCTTTAGCTTCTACCTTGTAACAGGGGGCTGTGGAAAACACAGTGGGCGCTAAAGCATCAGCATTGCTGATCACGTGATGTGTTCTCTCGGAAACTTAAAACCTTTAGGAGTTAAATTTCTCTAATTGTCTCTACTAGCCCACTTCTGACTGGACAGATTTTGGAGAGAATTGCCACAGAATTTAACCAGTTACAGTTTCATGCTGTTCAAAGCAAAGGCATGCCTCTTTTGGACAAAATAAGACCAGTAAGTGTTGTTTTGGATTTCCACACTTTGGTATTTAGGAATTTGCTGAATAGTTTTGGCTTACCTGACACAGGCCTCATTTTGTTGCCCTTCACTTTATTGCACTTCACAGATATGTTTTTGTTTTGTTTTGTTTTGTTAACAAATTGAAGGTTTATGGCAGCTCTGCATCAAGCAAGTCTGTCAGCCTACCAGTGCCATTCCAGCAGCATTTGCTCACTTCCTGTCTTTGTATCACATTCTGGCAATTTTCACAGTATTTCAAACCCTCCACCAGCAAAATGATTACAGCTCACTGAAGGCTCAGATTATGATTAACATCTTTTAGCAATAAAGTATTTTTTAATTGTTTTTTTAGACATAATGCTATTGCAGACTTAATATACTGCAGTATGGTGTAAACATTTCTTTTACGTGCACTGAGAGACCAAGAGATCCCAGTGCCCCGCTTCACTGTGGTCCTGCTCGGTTTACTGGGGCCTGGAGCCACACTCGCAGCGTCTCCAAGGCATGCCTGTAATGCCTGTGATAATTGTTGATCTGCGGGATTCTGAAACTAGCTTTGAATTTTTTCCTTCAGTTTTTGTTTTTTGGACCCCTGCCCCCTAAGTGTCACACATTGTAGATTTTGTGTAAAGACACAGGCATATTCTCCGAATTATAAGGGTAAAATTAATTCTAAACTTCATGTAACTTGACACACTGCATGATGTAGTCAGAGTTAGTTTATCCGCAACTCTCGACTGGGCTTTAGATTCATGATGTTTGTCAGATTTACTCTGTAGCTTAAGAGGAAAATAACTTTTTTTCTCATTCTGCAATTCTGTCTAAGTCCTCCTTTGATATAGCAAAGATTTACTTATAAAGAGATGTGGGGTGGAGGAAAGATTCATTGTTACGCTCCAGAAAATGTTAATATTTTAATTTTACACATATTCTCTTCTAGTGCCGCCAGAGATTTGTTATGTATATATTTGAGTCTTTAGAAATTGTTCCAGCTGCTTTCTTACCTGTTTTTCTTGCAGCGTATAGCTGGCATTACAGCCATGTTACAGCAGTCACTGGAAGGCCTCCTTTTGGAAGGCCTGCGGACTTCCAGTGTCGATGTGATCCGGCACTGCTTACGGACTTACGCCACGATTGACAAGGCACGGGACGCGGAGGCGTTAGTTGGTCAAGTCCTGGTGAAACCATACGTGGATGAGGTTTGTGCATCCCCAGGCCTCCATTCGGCAGGCGTTCAGAGAGCGTCTGCTGTGTCCTGGATGCTTCACTGGGCGTGAGGGTGGATCAGAGGTCCTTCTGTAAAGAGTCTCATAGTTACTGCAGCATCAGCTGTAAGAAAAGGTTGGTCCCTGGTGGTTACAACCAGCGTGCAGGAGTCAGGCACCCTCTCTCGTATTTTCTAGTGATGCTGTAGCCCAGGGATTATCTTAATTTAGTAGGGGACAGGTCTTCCCTAGGGAGAAGGTGTGTATCAACATTTTTAGGTCAGTTTTATGCTATGTAGATTATTTGCCAATAAAGTTTTTAAAACGAATCTTTTAACTACTGGTCTGGTGGGTAGAATGGAACAAGTAAAGCAGATGCCAGCACCGCAGCTCAAGTGCCTCGTGGTGGGACAGCGGGCCAAGAGCCCTGAGCGTGGAAGGTCTGCGTGGAGGGCTGTCTTCACAGACTGCTGAGGAGTGTGTGGGCCAGGAAGGTGGGAGGGAGGGAATGTTCACAGATGAAGGGCTTTCATAGGCAAATGAGCAGCGTAATACCTTAAATCCAGAACTTGGCTATCCAGTGTCCTTCACCTACGAGGACACAGTTAAAATTTGGGAAGTAAGCACGTTCTGCCTTTGAGCAGCCAGAATATATTACAGATTGTACCACGTGAAGTTGCCAATACTCAGCATTTTCCGACGCGCAAAAATGGCAGCTTTGTCTGGTTCAAACTGGTGGAAGTCACAGGCCCGTCCTCAGTGTTTGCAGACTTTCTTCAGTGCCACATCAGTGTGGACGCTCTTTCTGTCCAGTTAGTACAAAGCCTACTCACCATGACTTTGGGGCGAAAGTCTCCCATTTCTAAATGGGGAAAATTGAATGTCATTGATAAAAATGAAACTTAAGGATTAATTTCAATAGTCCAGTCAGCTTTCATTAGGATTACTAAAAATAAATGGTCTGTCATCTTCCTCTGTTTGTATCCTGTTGTATTTCATAGCTGTCTCTCTATAGGAGTGAAGAAGACAAATTACCTACACTATTTCTTTATCACTAAGTGAAAATGGTTACTAATTTATGCCTTTGTTTTTCATTGAACTGAACCTAATGTGCTCAATTAAAGAAACGTTTGATGTCTCAGTGGCACATGAAATAAACTGGCCGCATTTTAATTTTATTTAAATTCGTATGTTTGTCATTCGCCTCTTGATTCTCAACCTTAACACAAAAGATAAAATAATAATAAAGTAAAATAAAATATACTCCCTTCCATCTTTCTCTGTCTCAAACCTTCCCCTAATCTGAATAATGGTATTTAGAAGAAAAGGCCACGGTCAAGACAGCAAGGAGCTGTTGTCATGGGAAATCATCGTTTTATTTCGTTTTCAAGCTCAGGAGGGAAACAGGCGAATGTGTCTGGCTTTTCAGCTTCAGGCCAGTCTCTGGCACCCAGCCTGTGTCTCCCCCAGGTCAGAGCTATGCACCCGAATCCTGGAACTAGCTCTGAGTGAGGCTGTTGCTGTTAGGAAACATGTCAGCTGGGGAGGAGGGGGGCGAGAGGAAACACACTTTTCAGGTTTTCTTTGTTCTTTTCCCTGTGGTATGTAACTCATACTTGTCTTTTTTAAAAATGATGCTCCTTTTACTAGGTGATTGTAGAGCAGATTGCCGATGCTCACCCGAGTGATCTTCAGCTCATGTACAGGAAGCTCCTGGAGTTCGTTCCCCACCACTGCCGCCTCCTTCGAGAGGTCACGGGAGGAGCCACCTCAAGGTAGTCTGAGCAGCTGTTCTCAGAGCTCCCGCGGTCCGGGGCTGCGCCTGGGAGCCGCTCGTGCCCTGCTGGTTGTTGCTGTCTCGTGTGGACCGGGTTCAGATGCCCTTTCCTGTCTGTGTGTGAGCACAGTGCTCTGAGCTGGGCAGGGGCCATTAGCCTCGTCTTACAGAGAAGGAAACTGTAGTGGGTGGAACGGAGGAGAATGGTGTGTCTCTCTTGAATCCACAGCCCATGCTTTGCCCTCTCCTACACTGTCAGTTCCCTAAACTAGGTTTGAAATACAAGTTGGTTTCCTTCCATTATCCTAATGTCATAATCTGTTAATAAATATCAATTCAGTTTAATTCAACAAGTTTTATAAGATGTTAATTGTGGTTAAAGTCATCTTCAGTTTTCCCTCCTTTTGTCTGATTTCCATGGTTTTCAGTTCTGTTTTGTAAATACCCCACTGCCTTCCACCACTGCCACTGTCCTGGTCCAGGCCTTTGTCATTTCTCTGTCCACAGTAACAGGTTTTCCCCACCTGCTCGCGCGTCTCAGTCTGCCCCTCTGCTGGCACATTTACCCACAGTGCTGAGATTCATGCCCTGTCTTCCTGAGTCTTTAGTGGCTTCCTATTGCTCATTGTGGAAAATGCAGGCTTCTTGATCAGCACCCAAGGCCCCTTGTGCTCTGGCCCCGGTGGTCCTTGGGTGGGGCACTCTGCTCTGTGGTACCCTCGCCCTGCAGTTTTCCAGCACACAGCTGCACTTGCCCGCCCCAGCACACGCTGGGCGGGTCTATGTTTTTCCTCGGAGTCCCCTCCGCCTTTCCTGATCCCTCTTTTTGTTGACCTGTCACTCCACGTGAAGCCCCAGCTCAGATGCCACTTCCTTCAAGAGACCATCTTTTACCCTGATGTCTACCTTTAATCCTGTTCTCTGCAGGCCATTGCACGTCGCTCTCACTTTTCCCATCTCAACAGTGTGCTCCCCTCCCGCACGGCCCACACCTCCCTCCTGGCACAGTGTCTTGAAGGCAGTAACTACCCAATGTTTGCAGGATGAAAGACTTAACCTATTTACAGCATTAGAAAGGCAAATGAGGTCCCTGTCTTCATGGAGTGAACATTATATTTGGTCTTGAATTTTTGTTCTTTGAAAAGAAAAAAAAATCTGGGGAACAAATACGCTGCTTGACTTGTGAAGTACCCTATTTCCAGTACACGATTTCAGATGAAGCCTTGTTTTGCCACTTTTGCTTAGTAACCATGAAGATTTAGTTGGATTTGGATTTGGGGTAAGAATTTAATAGAAGTCATGGGGTAAATTTAAAGAAGCCACAGTTATGAAACAACCAGTCATTAGATTTGACGGGCCTAGTCTTGGTCCTGAAATATCAAGTTACAGAGCCTCACGTGCTCTTTTCCATGGTTTTCAGTGTGGCAGAATTCATGCAGACGCCTCAGAAATCTGAGGAATCTAAACTGTACCTTGGTGGGCCATCTGCATTTGCTTGAGGCCCCTCGTCCCGCCACTCCTCACCTTCCCTTGCTCAGCTTCTGCCTCCAGGTGCCCTTTATAGCTGGGGACACCAGCGACGTTCAAGATTTATCTTCCGAAGAATGTGGGTTAGCTTTTCTAACTGTTGATCTCACAGATTTAAGTTTTCTCTTTGGGGCTTTAGTTAGACATTTACTTTGGGAATGAGGTGATCTTGTCCTTCAGTGTTGTTCAGATTATGTGCATTTGTATTTTAAAATCTTCAATTCTGTTCCTTCTTTCTTCCGATACCTTAATAGAGCTACTTCTTATTATGATTAAAAGTATATGATATGATACATGGAATTGGGTATGTGGGACACAGGCATCTTCTTTCCCTCCTGGACCCTCCTCCAATCCCACCAGTAATTTCTCATCAATTCCTACCTATTATAGAATGAGATTATCTGATAGCTCTTTCTGAACAGTAAAGCTGAATAAGCTATTTGTCTTGATAGTTTTTGCTAAGCAGGAAAATTATGAAAACTTTTTACTGTTTATTTTTAATACTTATCAGAATGTTAAATGCCAATTTGTTATCCCCACTTAGCTACACAACTCCCCGTTTTACTAAACAAATGAGACCGTGTATTGCATGGATGATCAGTTTTAAAGACAGTTATCTTAATATAGAGCATATCAATAACGGAGCAGTCCAAGTGGGTCGATCAGTGAGATGGTGTTGCTTAAAGCTACTTACAGGTCTTTAAGTTCAAGAGAAACGTAAGGAACCTGCTGTTTTTGTTTACGTACTTCTGTATTTAACCACTATTAACATAGCACGCGTTGTATGCTGGGCACCATCCTAAACGCTTTACAAATATTAATCCACATAATGACCCTGTGAGGTACGTATCATTATCCTCCCTGTTTTGAAGATGAAGAAACCAAAACACAGAGAAGTTAAATGACCCAAGATTTGAACTCACGTACTCTGACTCCCAAGTGCATGCTTTTATCTCAGTGTTGTCTGTCATCTACGTTTGTGAATTAGAAACCCAGAGTCCAGCCTTTTGGCTAAAAATGCAGAATAAAGCATGCACACGCAAAAAACATTACCGTTATCAGTTTTTTGTATTAAGATTTGTGATCGAGATTTTACGTAAAATAGTCATAGAACTTTAGAACTGAGGGTAATCTTAGGGATAGCTGAAGTTGTTAGTAATTGGGCAATTAGCGTGATTTATAGTGCTTTAGAGTTGAGTGGTGTTAAGGTTGAATACAAGACTGCTTTTCTTTTTTTTTTAAATATATGTGCTGTCCTGTAGGCATTATTGTTCCATTTACAGAGCACAGGCAGAGTAGATGTAACATAATTCTTCTTTTTTTAAAAAAATTTATTTATTTTTGTCTGCGTTCGGTCTTTGTTACTGCGTGCGGGCTTTCTCTAGTTGCGGCAAGCGGGGGCTACTCTTCGTTGCGGTGCGTGGGCTTCTCATTGAGGTGGCTTCTCTTGTTGCCGAGCACGGGCTCTAGGCGCGCGGGCTTCAGTAGTTGCGGCGCACAGGCTCGGTAGTTGTGGCTCGTGGGCTCTAGAGCGCAGGCTCAGGTGCTGTGGCGCACGGGCTTAGTTGCTCCACGGCGTGTGGGATCTTCCTGGACCAGGGCTCGCACCCGCATCTCCTGCATTGGCAGGTGGATTCTTAACCACTGCGCCACCAGGGAAGTCCCACAAAGACTGCTTTTCCTGTGGTATTAAACTGCTTCTTTTTCGAGACAGAGTATAAACATGGTAGCCCATTTTAGGGGAGAAAATTGTGCCAAGTTAAGTTGATGTAGTTTTCCATTACCCTTGACCCCCAGCTTGCTTACTACTTGATAGATAGATGTAGGAGTCAGGACACAGAGGATGTGTCAGGTTCAAGGTGAGAATGAGATCAAGGAGTGAAATAGAAGTTTGGGTCTAAGAACAAACTAATTGACAGATACCGTTTTTTTAAAAAGGTTGAAATAAATTTTAGCCTGAGGAACTTTTATTTTAATAAAAGCACCACAGTGGAATTTTGCTTTTTGGAAGTAGAAGATTCTGGTGTATTTGACTGAAATTTTCCTCTTATCTTACAGTGAAAAAGGCAATACTGTTCCCGGATATGATTTTTTGGTGAATTCTGTCTGGCCAGAAATAGTACGAGGATTAGAAGAAAAATTGCCCTCACTTTTTAATGCTGGGAATCCCGATGCCTTTCACCAGGTACCTTTTCCTCCATCGTCTTGATTCTTGAAGATGTTAACCTGAGACTTTAGGATAATCGTATCTTTTCTGCACAGTCTTGGTTCTGTGGTTTTAGGAAAAACCACAGTCTGAGTTACGTAGCAAGCATTTACCTTAAAACACGCACTGTTTTATTCAAGTCATAGATAGTCTCTGATAACTTCAAGGACTAAGAATATTTTTTAGAATGTAAAGTAAAATTCAGTCTAGATGCAATTGGGACTAGATCTGAATATTCTAGTTTTTAAAAAGATCCTAAGGGCCATTAAAAACAAGGCTGTTTGCAGTTGTTTTCCATGAAAAATTAAGTTTGTAGATATCTACTGTATCGTTTTGAAGGAAAACGAAGTATTGGATTGGATTTTAAAATGCAATATGTAAGTGTCCTCTATAATTTGAAAGATTAGGAGGCCTCGATATTTTCATTTTTAAAAAAAAAAAAATCATTTAAAAGACTTCATGGTTGATATTTCAGTAGACTCGTATGTTAATTTTCCATTGTACCATTTTTTAAAGACAGTACGTAGTGTCCTGGAGAAGAATAAAGGCTCTCGGCCAGGTGGCCTGAGTCCGTGCCCAGCTCCCCTGCTCAGTACTCGTGTTGCTCAGCCCCTCGGTGCCTCTCCTCTCCTTCCTGCTCTGGATTTTGATTTTGGGGTTTTCGATTGTTTTATTCAACATGACAATCTTTGTCTTTCGCTTAGGTAATTTGTTAAATTTAGAATGATCGTAGTGACTGATATATTTGGGGTTTCTTTGGTTCTTCCTATTTGTCCCATTTTTCTTCCTTCTTTTCCTTTCTCCCTTCTTTTTTTCTTTCCTTTTCCGCCTTCTCTGTATTTTGGACTTTTGGGGATTTGTTTTCCTCATTTATTCTGTTTTTCCCCTCTACTAATTTGGAAGTTCTACCCTTTATTTCTTTATGTATTAAGTAACCTTAGTGGTTACTTAACAGAATCTAACGCTCACTGGTGTTCTCAGCCTCCCAAACAGCACAGGGATCTTAGAGGACTTTGGTGCCAGTCGCCCCATTCCATAGTATCTATTACTGTTTCCAGGGTCTTATTTCTATTTTGATTTTTTTTATCCCCCAAATTGGGCGTTATTTTTATTGTTTTACGTGGTCATCGTTCTCCTCTCAGAATTATTCCACGTGTTTATCATTTCCTTTGCTTCCTGTTCCTTCTTGGATGTTAGACCTTTTTTCTTGGATCATTTTCCTTCTTCCTGAAATTCATCTATTAGCAGGGCCTGTTGATAATAAGTTTCACTTTTTTGTGATAAACCCTCAGTTTGTATGTCTGACAATAACTTTATACCTTTTGTGTTTGAAAGGTAGTTTTGATGGAAGTAGAATTCTCTGCACTTTGAACATTGTCTCTTGACTTCCGTTATGAAAATAGTTACTGTTGTTTCTTTGTAGTTATCATGCCGTCTCTCCCAAATCTTGCCTGCGACTCTAGTGTGCTGTTTCATTATGAGAATCTAGTGTGGGCTTCTTTTTCTTTATCGTATTTAGGATTTGTTGGCTTTCCTGGATCTGAGGATTGGTGGTTTTTTAATCAGCTCTGTCTCATTTTTATTCATTAACTCTTCAGTTGTGCTTTTCTCTCATTCCTCTATTATTTTCTTCTAGAACTTTTGATTAGACTTCCTCACTTTATCCTTTGTGTTTCGTGAATTCACTTTTTAATTTTTTGTCTCTTTGTGCTCATTCTGGGTAATTTCTTGGGACTTTTCTCCTAGTTCACTGATTCCTTCTTCAGATTTGTCTAAACTCCTTTTCACCTGTTTCCAATTTACCCTTATTTTCGTTTCTAGAAGTTCTGTTTGCTTCTTTTTCTAACTCTGCTTGGTCAAATTGCCTATTAAATTTTAAAGTGTAGAGAGGCACAAGGTGAGTGTGGTGAGCCTGGGGCCTGGTAGACTTCAAAACAGGGAAGACAACAAACTGGGAGCTTTATTATCCCAGAAATACCACCGATCTGTTCTCCTGGCCCATGGTACAGTGTACTGAACAATATGAGGTCTTGAGCATTAGCAGTTTAAGACCCTTTTCATTCCTCTTTAGAGAATCATTTTGATCGTGTTAGGCTCAGGAGATTTTTCAGCTCAGAAACGAAGCTTTCTGCTAGAGTGTCGACTTTAGAATTCTAAACCAATACTTAACGTTTGCGGGTACAAACATTTCTTGCAAGAAACGCTTTCAGCTTTCAGTTTTAATGGGACATGCTTCTGTGAAGAGAGAAATATTTTTGTATTTTTCAACACCCATTGCAGGGGTATAGTTTTATCCCAGAAGGGATGAGTAATTCCTTTCTTTGTCTCAACTCCACACATGTAGACCACACTCAGGGGATTCAGTAAGTGTAGCTCAAAACCAGTTGAAAGAAATTGAACACCTGTGGTAGTGTTACTGCACTAAAATTCCCACATAAGCACAGACATCATCATATTCAGGTGATTGGTTTGGTGACCCAGAACAGAGTCCCTCTTAATGAGAAGTACATGGGAAGTCCTGCAGTGTCCTCCCCAGAGCCTGGGGACTGGGGAATAGAGCCCTTGCCGAAGGAATGTGCAACTGCAGTTTTGCACTGCTGACTGGCGAGGGTTCTGTTTCCCCCATTTCCTTGCTTTGTTTCTGGGTAAATTCTCTCTGAGCCTAAGCAGAAGAGGAAGCGTCATTTATAAAATAGGGGATGATATAAAAGTAGTTACCGGGTAGGGCAGTTTTCTGGGTTAAAGTAAGAAAAACAATTTTAAGCACTGTGTGAGGATGATAAATATTAAGTAAGTGTTAGCTTCTGCTCTGAATGGTGTTTTTAGATTCCTCCTGTCAATCTTCACGCTGTGCCATCTATAAAAAGGATGTAATTACTCACATGGTTTGAGTCTTTCTTTCCTTTTTAAAATTTTCTACTTCTTCTTCTTCTGGAGAGGCAATGAAAATTATACCACTTAATCTGCAATCTCTTGTGATTCCAATGGACTGGGTTAGGGGTGCCCTAGAAGATGGGGGAGAGCTGTCGCTTAAAGACCACTGGACTTAGGATGCCTGGGTCTCCTGACGGGCTTGCCACCTAGGACCTTGAGCACGTCACAGAACCACTTCGGGCATTACTTGATCTTTAAGCGGGGACCTTGGAAGGAAGATCCCATAAGGTCCTTATCAGATCCAGAAACTATGATTCTGTGTGTTGATCTTTATCTTGATTACAGCTTTTTTCGCTATATGATCCCAGTTCTGGTTAGTTCACTTAAAATGAAAATGCCACCTGTTTGTTCTTATTTTAGAAATATACCATAAGTATGGATTTTGTAAGAACACTTGAACGGCAATGTGGATCACAGGCCAGTGTAAAAAGATTAAGAGCACATCCCGCCTATCACAGCTTCAATAATAAGTGGAACTTGCCTGTGTATTTTCAAATAAGGTCAGTAATTTACCCCCCCCCCACCTCCACCCTTCTAAAACAGACTTTGAGCACCAGTTAAGTATGTTGGCTCCAGCTAACAGCCCCTTCTTGATCATCATACTGTTCTTTGGGAAACAAAATGTAGAGTGGAAGTGCACAGAAGTATCGTGATTGCCAAAGTTCTGGCTTGTATGACAGAAAGATAAGTCTTACTCCTTGGTCATTAGACAACTGAGAACACTAGACTCAGAGTGAGCTAGACCAGGCCTGGCTTCATTCCCACGTGCTACGTCCTTGTTCATCCTGAAGAGACAGAAAGAGCGGGTCACCTGGCAGCTCTTTCTCCCCGTTTTCCTCTCTCATCACCTGCTTCAAATAGCAGACCTACCCTGCATTTGTTGTTTTGCTCATCTGGAACATTTTTTGTCCTCAGAGGGAGTCGGGAGAAGTATTCTCTCTTAAAGTAGTCTCTGTAGCTGATTCCGTCTTAGCAATTGATAGTAATTCTACCTATTGTTTTGGATTCCTTTATAATACTTTGTGACATTTTTTCTCTCTATTCTGGAAAACGCTGACACGTTTCTTCCAGATGTCATAATGATATCACCTGTGTCAGTAACTGGTTCTGTAGACTGTTTGGGGAAATTTAGGATAAATTCTTAACAATATGTGTTCCCTTAGAAGAATAGGTGATAATAGCCATTTCTGCAGATTCTCTTGAGTGAGATCACAGTAAGCTCCTCCGTAGAACGGCGTTAACGAGAGCATTTGAGCTAGAATGCTCTTTCAAGACTCAGGCTTTTTGTTTAAATTGTTGGATGTTTTCATTAATTATGATGCAGTCCTTCCCCAGGGTTCTAAGGAATAATTACAGAGGGAGATATACTAAGAACTAGGTACCTTGATTCGTAATTACTCGCCATGATTGAGAATGTATGTAATCATCTTTTGATAGTGAAATCGTAGCTGTCAGACTGTTAGTAAGATGCCCTTTTACACACAATACTGGGTTTTATGCTTAATTTTTCAAGGTTACATTATCCTGTAGGTAGGAAATTAAGGATTTTTTTTGTGTAAGATACTCATGGACTGCGTGGGAAGTAGTCGTTACGTGGTGATCAAACTAAGCCAGGGCAAGAAGCCCTTTTGGTTTGTGAGAAGAATTTAAAATGGTGAAGCATCATTTCATAGCATAAGACTGCAGTAGAGAAATAATGTTTCAACTGTCCCATGTCTTTTGTAGTCCAGGTTCAAAGTTAGATTGCTTTGGATATCCAATGCCATCAGCCCATACTCCAGTCTACTGCCTCCGAACCCCTCTTTTCTAGTCGTTTTCCCCGGACCCCAGGGCCCCATGCTTGGTAATCTTGCACTGTCACCTTGCTTCCTGGAGCTCTGGGCCCCGCAGGGGCGGCACAGCCCGGCCTCGGCAGGTTCTCCTCTCGTTATATGTTCTCTCAAAGCTGAGATTGAGCCTTAAACTCTGTCGGAACTCAGCCAGTTCCCTGAAAGACGTTTTCACCTTCAGCAGATTTTAGCCATAGCATTCAAAGGGATTGGTTAACTTTTCTTTGTAAACAGTTTTATTTAAAATGTGTAAAATTTAAAAAAAAATATGCTTGAGTTATGAAGTGTGGAACTTCATAACTTTCAATACATCTGCTTTTCCGTTTAAGAAATAAATTCAAGTAATACTTTATGGGACACCGTTCTGTTGATTTTTATCAGGCATTAGATTGTTTATTCTGAGGGATGACAGAATGTTTTGCGAACACCGCTGGGGTCAGAGTTGTAGTGTTACCTGATTCACCTCAGGGTCATTTAAAGTAAGCCTAAAAAGCCAGTGGGGTGATGGTGTGTTGACATGTTTCTAGGAAGAAGTATTAATATTGCACCCTCAGTAACAGGTGGATGCTCCCGGGTCTGACTCTATGCCTGCATCCCCGTCACCTTCAGGAAAAAGGCAGCCCTGGCCCACACACACCGTTCTGTGAGCACTTGTGCACCCCTCCTGCCCCGGTACCCTACTGTGTCTGCGCTTCATTTGTTCTTACAGGAGTATCGGAAAGTAGGGTTAGGACTCCGTTTCTCATAGGAAGAGATTAAATGTACATGTGCGCAGAGCAGTCTCAAATGGTAGCGAATCAGTGGCTGCCTGGAAACTGGGCTGGTCGCCCTTTAAATGCCACAGGCAAAGCGTTAGGTCTTTTTTAATTGAAATCTCGCTAGAATGTTATATGCTCCCAGGACGGTCACATGTGTGTTCTGTGTCTGTCACGTTCAGCACGCGCTGAGCATGGTGTAGCTCCTTTATGACATGGAGTCCGTGTGGCACTAACGTACCTTCCTTTCCCTCCACCCTCCGCAAGTGTGTGCCTGCGCGAAGTAGAGACATGCGTTGGGAAGTGCGTCTCCAGACCCTCCCCAAACCCAAATGTAAGAATTTGGGAGTGTTTGTATTTGGGGTTGCCTTTCTTACAAATCTCCTATCAAGAGTAGAATAGCATCCCATATACACATGAAGACTACAGCACAACTTTTCAAATTCCACCAAAGTAACATCTCACTTTGTTTCTTTTCTAAGAAGTATAACGTATCACTTCAATCCTGGAAGCTACTGCTCAGCAAGGCTGTGCCAGGGGCTGGTGCTGGGCTCCTGGCCCTTGGGGCTAAGGGGACAGCTGGGTCACGTGACATAGACAGCTTTCCTTTCAAGGGTCCAACAGCTGGTCCCACGCAGTCAGCACGTCTGTGTGAAATGCACTGCTGTCGGGTCTGCTGCATTTTTCTTGCACTTTCTCGTTTGTGTGTTCATCAGAATTGTCACAGACGTACATGTAATTTTATCCCGTGTCTTTACTTACACTGAACTATACCTGCTCTTCCCATGGCTGCAGAGCTTCGAGCTGACCTCTCTTCATGCTGCGCTCAGCGTGGATGTGCTGCGCGTTTACAGGCCCTTCCCTTCCTTGGGGCCTGGTGTTCCCGTTGTAAATGGTGCTGTGTTAACTGTCAGGCCTTTTCCGTGTTTTGCGGATTTGGAGGAAAGGTGGGCTGAGGGTCTGAGGCTGACGCAGGTGCTGGTTTGCTCCCTCCACTGCGGGGCAGCCCCTCCCCGTCCTCACTGTGCTCGGGGCCACCGCCTCCTTCGCTGGGCCCCGGCGCTCTCTTCTGTTCCCCGCTTGCCTTCTATCACTTGCTCTCTCTCTGCCTCTCCCTGCTGCTTGGAGAGACTAGCCTTTCGCAGGCTTCGCGGGGCAGAGGGCGAGTCCTTTCCCTCCCTGTGGTGTAGGGACGCTGCAGGCACCGGCCAGCTCCAGTGGCCAGGGCGGTCCAGAGTCCTCCGCTGTCAGCCACTCGCACCTTTGTGGCGGACGGGGTGGCTGCTCCTTGTGTGAAGTGCTTTTACTCCTGAAAACCAGCCTCTGAACTGCTTTTAAAAAGCACGTGAGTGCTATCCAAAAACCAGAATTACGACTTCAGTAAATTGCAGCATGTGTCAGAATTTATTGCTAGCAAAGGAGCTAGCAGGTGACAGAAGAGTGTATGGTAAAGAAAGTATGAAGATGGAAGAGCTATATAGTTGGGAAGAAAGATGCTACGTAAGCAGCTAGTTAAGGAAATACACACACACACAAAGTTTTCATTTCAGAGTCATAAAAATGTGTCCACACTAGTCATTAAAATAGAAGTCTGTGACAGGATGGTATGAGGGCACAAGTGGGCCAGCAGAGGAAAAAGAAAACCCATCAGGAAGCAGATCTTGAGCCTCGGGGCCGGCGGGCCAGTTACCATGACAACGTGAGAGACCAGCAGCAGGGCAGCAGATGTTCGAGGAGCGCCAGGCAGAGAGCTGTTCTGGTGTAACTGCCTCTACCTTCAGTGATCTTTCTCAAGCTGCAATCAAAGACACAGAATACGGCTTTCTCATTTCTTAGTTTGGGGGACATTCACTTTCTTCTGATAGGGCTGATGTAAGGGCATTGGAAAAACCAGTCGTACGGCCTTGAAGTGATTACCTGATTATAGCTGGTGGGACTTGCCAGAAATGGCTTCCTAGTGGATTAATTGAGACACGTTTATTTCCTGCTCGGTAAAAAAAAGTCTGGAGAACAGGCATCAGGGCTGGTGCGGCATCTCTGACAGTGCTGGCCTCACCAACAAGCCAGTGGAGGAAGGTCCTGTTTCGTGGGGAGAGGGGAGGATTGGTGGGACAGCCGCCTGCAGCAGAGAAAACAACAGTTTACACTCTTGTTTTTCTCTCAGATTTAGAGAAATAGCGGGATCCTTAGAAGCAGCACTTACAGATGTCCTGGAAGACGCACCAGGTAACTTCCTCAAAGTGACAAATGACAGGCTGTCACTGAGTTAAGTAGGCTCACCAAGTCATCTTGGGGACCTCAGTACCCTGGGGGCTCTTTCACCTTTTCCTGTCTTCCAGTAAGTTAGACCCAAAGGTGTACTTTAACTTCTTTTTTTAAAAAGGGTTTATAGGGCTTCCCTGGTGGCGCAGTGGTTGAGAGTCCGCCTGCCGATGCAGGGGACACGAGTTCGTGCCCCGTGAGCCATGGCCGCTGAGCCTGCGCTTCCGGAGCCTGTGCTCCGCAACGGGAGAGGCCACGGCAGTGAGAGGCCCGCGTACCGCAAAAAAAAAAAAGGTTTATAGAGCTTCTTGCTGTACAGAGATGATAAAAACGCTGCTTTAAGAACACAGGAAGGAGACCTCATTTTCATTCCTCAGTATAACGTGTCAAGGGGATATAACTGCTGCTGTGCTTAAGGGAGCAGCCCTTTTTGTAGCCAAGTGGCCACGCTCCACTTCTCTCCGAAGCTGAGGTGAAGGACCAGGGTGGCCTTCCCTCTGGGCGGGGGTGGGGTGGGGGGGTGGGGGGCGATGGCTCACAGCGGGGGCTCCTTGCCCCGGGCCTCCAGAGCCCTTGGGCCAGTCCTGGGACAGTGCGCAGGTGACCGGGGTTAGGATACACTTTGCAGACACGTTTGCATCATTTGCATCCCTACAGCCTCGTTCACCTGTGTCACGTTGTAGCCATGCCTGGTGGCCACTCACCTAGTAGGTGGCTGTTCCTATAGCCGCAAGGGTCTTGGGGCAGCTCCACTCCGCTTTCTGCTCCCTTTCGTGCAGCCAAGTTCCATCTAAACTGCACTCTTTTAGCCTCAAAGTTAGTTTCCAGCTGTTTTTGCCCAAAATGGCCATATGTAATCGACATCCTGTGTTGAAATAGCGTATTCAGGAGGGAAGGAGAAGACAGGACAAATTCAGAACCGAAGGTGAAACCCTTGCCAGTGGCTGCCTCTCCAGCTTGTGCTTGTTGATCTGGTACGAAGTGTCTGCTGGCTGGCGATTCTGAACGCCGCTTATGGCTAATGCCTGTCAGATGCCTGGGAGGGGAGCCATGTAAAAGTAGAAGGACCTCCCTAGAGCTTTGCTGACAAGAAGGCCGCTGCCTTCACCCTTGGGGTGTACGTGGAAGATTTTAGCCGTTGGCCCTTCAGCTGAGATTCCTTAACCGTATGTTTTTTGTCTAGCTGGAAGTTCGTATTGCCTCTTGGCTTCTCACAGGACGTGGAGCAGCCTGCAGAGGTGTTGGTCTGACCAGATGTTCTTGCCGTTGCTGGTGCATCGTCTGTGGAGACTCACTCTGCAGATTCTCGCACGGTACTCCGTGTTTGTCAAGGAGGTGAGGGCTGGCGGGTGGCTCATCCCTAATCGAGGCTGAAACGAATTAAAGATGGGTGAAGCCGAACGTGCTGAGAGTCTTAAAGGCCGTGTTGTCATGAGAGGTTGATGCGGGGACTGCAGGCCAGCTTCTCAGTGGCTACCCAATTCCGCTTCTGGGTTTCCTTTTCACTCGTACGTGTGGCCTCGAGGGGCGTCTGCTGTCACGTGGTCAGTGGTTTGTCGTTTGGAAAAGCCCTCACCGGCCACCACACTTTTCCCTTCTGAAAACCAGGATCTTTGCCTCCAGACTAAAACAGAAATGAAAATTTCTAATGAAATGATTCTAATGAAAATGATTTTTAAAATGCGTACTTTAGTACCTAGTCTTTGGAAGTGTAAAAACTCCAAGTGGTTGAGATTAAAAGGTAGTAAAATTAATTAACCTTCCCTCCATTTCAGAAGTAGTAGTTGGATGCATTAAGCGTCCGCACGCCTCTGATGGTTTATTAGATATTGTGTGTAAAGCCACGGGAGTACTCGTGTGGTCCCCTGCTGAGCCCCCAGCCCCGCCAGGCCCTGCGCCCGTGTCTCAGAGATGCCTGCTGCACGGACAGCTCAGTGACAGACGCACCCCCCAGCCACGGCAAGGTGATGAGTATAAAAGAGATGTGAGCAGAAGCTTAGGGAAGACGACACGAGGAAGGCCTCATCCATGGAGAGGAAAGCACTCTGTCATCTGGAGCAGAGGGTCTCAGCGGAAAGAGCGCAGGCTTGTGACAGCGTCAGACCTTGGCTCTGCCACTCCTTATCTAATTTCGTGGTCTTAGGGAAATTGAGTCTCAGATTCTTCATCTGTAAAGGAGGAAAACAGCTTCTCTCTGTGCTTGTCGTGAGGAGTAGAGAGAGGTTTGACCAGCAAACTGATAACCAAGGGGCCTGGCAGACAGGGGCACTCCACGGCAGTTCCTTTCCTCCTCCGCCTTTGCCTCTCTCTGCTCAGAGGGGTCTCAGGAGACCACCGTGCTCCATGAAACTGTTCACGAAGACCGTGCCGTTCCTGGGCACGGTCGGGTTGGTACACTTCTGTTAGGCCTGGGCCTGCTACGCCACGCCCAAGCAAGATGCTAGCCAGCAGTTCTTCTCACATCCAGAATATTCCGTTCTTTTCTCGATCCCAGTGCACGTCTCATAGGTTTTTTCCCCTTGTAGCAAAAATCCATTATGCAAAGAACACTTCTGTCGTTTGTGTTATTTGAAGCATAATTAAGGTTTAGATTTTGATTTTTTTACCCTTATGATGATGATAAATTTATTAAGCAGATACCGTACATTATTTACCTTAAGCAGTTAATTAATTTTTTAAAACCTATGATGTTCCACATCTTAATTTTCCTTTAGTTTAGGGGCCTGTGGTTTCATTTCTGCCTGTTACCTAAGGAGGGGAAATGCACAGGGGGTTGCAGTTCGTCCTGTTTCTCTGTTTTCCACGCCTGCCTGGGGAGAGGGCTGTGGTGTTTGTCATGAGTAAACTTTCACGGAATCCTTTGTAGACAGCTGACATTTTATGGTGAGTCACTGACCTGTATAAATGCGCATGTATCTTGCTGGTGGAAACACATTTAATCGTTGAAACCCTTTTGTTCAGCTTTTACTCAGGCCCATCTCTAATGAAAGTGCCAAGGATATTAAAAAGCCTTCGGGAACTGGCAGCAAAGATCCTTCCGTCGCCCAAGGAAACTGCGAAGACCGAGGAAGCGGCCCTTCCGAGACGAAGCCCGTCGTCCCCGTCTCCAGCACTCAGCTTGTTTACGTGGTCGCAGACCTGGACAGGCTTCAGGAGCAGGTGAGCCTGTGTCCCGGAGGAGTTCTAAGTACCGGCTTCAATGTTTGCAGCGGCTGGCCTCACGGGGCTTAGAACTGTGGGTCCAGAGCACCCTGAGAGCACGTCCGTTCACCTCGCTTCTGGGTGTTGCTCTCGTTTCCCTGCCCGGCGTGCTCGCTCCCCCGTGCTTGCCAGTCCCGCCTAGGATGTGCTAGCCCGGAGCCTCGGCTTCCCTTCAGCAGTGACGCCACAGTCTAGCAGCACGCCAGGCACCGCCGTTTCTTGCGTTAGCTCCGCTTACTCTGTGCAGGCATGACCTTTAGTGGTTGGATTTTAATCGTTTCTAATTCACTTACCCAGTATTTCAGGGTAATATGTAATCTTCAGTTATACTTTGAAAGTGCTGACCTATTAACACGTCTTCCTGTTTTCTCCAAATAGATTCCATGTTCTTGCTTTTACCATTAACAGAACTTTGTGGGATGAATGTGTTTAAGCGCTGTGATATGCAATTCTGCTTTTCTCAAGTTTGAATATTTTGTGGTGCTTGGACAGATATTGTATGTTTGGAGCAAAAACGTGGTCTTTACCATGTGTTTTTTTGGTACTGGGGAGAGCTGCAGAATAGAAAAGGATTTCGCATGTTTTCTGGGTCTGTTAATAGCCGTGAAAATGCTATTTTCCATGCTGTTGGATTCTTTCATAGTGAAAGCATTAATTAGGAATTTTGTTTTCTTCTGATGAAAACCACTGGAAGTTCTGAGTTTAGTTTTATCGTTCATTAATAATATTCTAGAGTTCGTAGATGCATAAAGAATTGACTCTTCCTTTGATTTATAAAAAGTAACTGAATATATAAAGTGCATATTTATTTCAGCTTCCAGAGCTCTTGGAAACAATCAGGCCAAAACTTGAAGTGATTGGCTTTAAGAATTTTTCTTCTATCTCAGGTAAAAATGAATCTTTAGATTCAGCAAATCTTTGAATAAGAAATAATTTACAATAGAATTTTAGAGACCGTAGGATAAATTTTAACTCACCGTTTTCTTCTCTAGTTGTAAGTCCTTGGTGGTTTCTGTATTCTGTTCTGTGTTTATAACTTCCTTGGATGAGATATTTTGTTGAATTCTAATGATTTGATTTGGTTTGGTTTGGTGTAGTATGCTCTCTAAATATGTTGACGGTGTTTAAAATAGAATTCACCCCTGGGCCTGGATAGTGTGATTAAACACATGCTTCTGTCTGTGCAGCAGCCCTGGAGGACTCCCGGCTATCTCTGTCTGCCTGTGTGCCTGCCTTGAGTGACAGAGTCACCCAGGACTTGAGTGAGTCTTGCTTCAGTCACCTGAAAAGTGCCCTGGAGGTTCCCAGGCTGTACCGAAGAACCAACAAGGTCAGTGCCCTCACTGAAAAGGGTTTCGAGGTTGGGAAATGTATATCAGGAAGGCCAGAGAGGGAGGAACTGGTTAGGCGAGGGACAGAAATAGGTGCTCGGGGGGAGAATCCGTCTCCTGGAGAGAAACCCTATTCGTGAGAAGGGGGCTCCTCAGTAGATGTGGCACAGACACAACTGAGGTAGTTGGACTTGCACAGCATGGACTTCTGGCCTTAAGGAAAAACCGTATCTTCAGAGAAAGCATTTTAATAAAATACTTTTAAGTCCGACCCTTCTTTTGGTCTTCATATCTTATACTTGAAAAGATTTGAATTTACCTTATTTCTTTTATATTGTCATTGGAAGTACCTGCTTTCTCCTGTCTTTTACTAGGTAAGGTATAAAAAAAAGCTGCATTAAAAAATATTAAAGGCATTTATAAGGTGAAAAATTAAGCTCACACTGGTGTTCAAAGTCGAGTTCTGCGTCCTCACTTTGTAGAATGGGGATTTGGGGGGATTTGTTTTTACCAGCGTTTTAATTTTCCCTCTTGAACTCCCATTTTCATGCGTTTATTTATGCTCATTTCATTCTTGTCAGTTCTCACTTATTTTCCCTCTAGATTTTCTTTTCTCCCAGTTGGATAGTTGGATTTTAGGCCATTTACAACTGAAATTATTCTCAGGAACTGTGAGAATCTCCTGCAGCATTGTGCTCCTTTGGAATATCCCGGAGTTCCTACAGACACGCCTGGGCGGGGCCGCGTCTTTGTTGTGCGCTGAGCCTGCAGCCTGGTCTGCTGCTGTCTGGTCTGCTGCTGTCGGGGTTACTCGTCCCGCCCTGCCGGTGTTCTGGGTGCAGCGAGCGGCTGGGCTGAGTGCTGAGCTGAGACCCAGCTCACCTCCGCTGGGGCTGTTCTCCTTTTCCTTTTAAAAACTGGGACACTCCAGCAGAATTCCCATTTCTAGCAAGAGTACCTTATCTCCCGATTTTCTGGTCTGAAGTGGGAGAGACCTGTTTTATTTTGCCAAATTCATTACTTTTCCTTTAGGAATCTAGCAACTTTTCCTTTTCTCTTCAACGGGGTGTTACATTTACCGAGCGCTTGCATCGTAGGTCAGACACCGTGCTAAAGACTTTATACCCTCATTAGTCCTACAGAGTGAGCGTCCGTGTCCTTATCACGGATGAAGAAACCAAAACTAAGAAAAGTCAGACACCCTAGATCCTAAGCTCTCACGTGGTGGTCTGTTGGCCAGCAGCAGACGGTCGCTGGTGGGAGCTTGTTAGAAATGTGCCATCTCAAAACTTGGCCCCGTTCCCCTCCCTGCAACACACACCGAATCAGACCCGGAATTAACAGGGCGGCCAGGTGATCTGTGTGGACAGCAGGTTAGGGAGCCTGAGTCCAGTCGCTCCGGGCATCGTCCTCCCCGGCTGTCTCTCCACGGCTCCCTCTTGGTCTCCAGGGGTCTTTCTGTGGACAACGCTTGTATGTGTCTCAAAACTGGTACCTGCATAATGCCCTTTTGAACGTGAGGTTTGGGTAACTTACTCTCTTTCCTCTTTTTTTTTTTTCTGTTCATCTTTAACCCCTACCAACGTTATTCCAGGAGGTGCCAACGACAGCCTCCTCTTATGTGGACAGTGCTCTGAAGCCGTTGTACCAGCTTCAGAGCGGGCACAAGGATAAGCTCAAACAAGCCATAATTCAGCAGTGGTTAGAAGGCGCTCTCTCTGAGAGCACGCATAAGTAAGTAACTTAAAAGCGGACTATTCTGGACTTGCTTAGAAAAGCCCTAAGTCAGACATCACTGGGACCATCACAGGCTGCTTGTAGATAAGGTAGTAAGAACATCCAGTGGCCTCATCGCTGGACAAGGCAGGGTGCGGGCACTCAGTCCCTCCCTGACTGTGCTCGCTCCACCCCATCCAAGGCTCTGCCTGGCCTCTCCCAGCTCACACACCTTTCGGGGCCCCCGGCACATTGCACAGTCCCCCCGGCACACTGCCTTGGACTGTCCTTAACGTTGCTTCATGCAGGAATGTTCTGCGAGTCCAGGCACGCTTTCTCCTTTCAGGTCCTTTCTCTTCAGCTCTGTCAGTCCATGATGGCTCCAGTCATGCCACGTAATCAGCAGACTTGCGCTGGGGAGACCCGTGTAATCAAGGAAGCGAAAACACTCATTGTGCAGTGTAATTACAACTGCTGAAGGATGGGTGTCAAAATCCTAAAACTAATGAGAAAAGGGGAGGTGTTCAGTATCACTGTGGTCGTGCATCTCTTCGTTTCCGATTCCCCCTACTTTTCCCCAAATCCAGCACTGAGTTGTGTCAGAAAGTATATTATTTGATTTTACTGTTGGATTTTTTAAAATTATTAATTTCACAGTACTATTTTGTTTCTTTCGACCAGTTATGAGTTAAGCAGCATTTGTGAGTTAACTTAGAACATAACAATGAGTTATAATACTGTTTCTGTGGGGAAATATATTCCAGATAACCAGCTTGTAAACAAATTTTGAAATATAACTCATTTATAATTTGGAAATTATATTGAAAATATTTAAAGGCAATTAGTTTTATTTAAAAGTTCTGAAATACTTTTTAAAAGATGAGCTGTTCCTAGAACTGATGGTAAATGAGTTTGTTCCTTGCATTGGGGAACGAGCTGCAGCTGTTCACCCTTGATATGAGAAAGAGAGTTTAGTTTAGCCTGTGATTCTTGCTTAGTGTTCAGGACTGAAAGTTTAGACAGAATTCATGTACATAGTTGTTATGTTCCGACAGGATGCAGTGCTAGACAGTCAAGACCCTGTTTTTCTTTCAGTCTTGAGAAACAGTATTTACCATGGCTGGTCGTTTTTTTTTTTTACTGGAATTGAATTTTTATCTTAAAAATCCCTGTTTTGGTCCACAAAGCTCGCGGGCGTGTTTGGCGTTGTGTCTCTTTCACCAGTCTGTGTGTCTCGTGCTCAAGGTACTATGAGACCGTGTCGGACGTCCTGAACTCCGTGAGGAAGATGGAGGAGAGCCTGAAGAGGCTGAAACAAGCCAGGAGGACCGCTCCCGCCACCCCCGCCGGGCCCAGTGGCGGCGGCATGAGTGACGACGACAAGATCAGGCTGCAGTTGGCCTTGGACGTCGCATATTTAGGAGAGCAGGTGACCCGAGCGCCGCCGTCCTTCCAGGGGGCCTGACTCCACACTCCGAGGGCCTGGCAGCCAGCTGGTGGTGCGCCTGAGCCCAGAGATGCTGGGAGGAGCCGGGAGTCCATTCCCGGTGCTGGAAAAGAGGGCCAGGGCCCCAGACGCTTGAAGGAAGAGGATGGGCCCCTAGGGAACATGAGAAAGAAAAGACAGGCTTTTTGAGGTCCAGGGAATTGACATCCTCTTGGCTCGCTGGCATTCATGTTCCCGAAGCCACTGGGGCTGTGCCCATGGGCAGAGATGGTGTCCTTTTGGTCCACTGCCTGGAACGTGCCTGATACGTCACGGGTGCCAGATGAGGGTCTTTTGAGATATTTGTTAGTTTGACTTTAGGAGAAGGGTTAGGCCGTTGACTTCTCAGTGCGGTGCTTGAAAAATGTCTCAGCACAGCTTCCTTGCTTCCCTGCCTGTGTTTTGTAGGTTTTCTATAAAACACAGATTTTTGTGTCACGGCGTGTGGACATTCACGTAGGTACCGTCACGTAGGGGCAGGTGTGGATTCCACGCACGGCCTTCTGTCCTCACAGACTGTCAGAGCTTTGGGCTGTTCAGAAACTGGCTTTGTCAACTGCTTAGGTTTTCTATAGCAGTAGATCCTCAAGGAAGACCTTTTTGCTAGAGAAAAAGTGGGATCATAACATTCCCATCAGAAGATGCCTTGTTTTCTAGTCACTCTTTCATACAGTTCAGGGTCATCACTAAAAATCTGAATTTTTCCCCTTTCGGGTGAATTTAGAGATGCATTCTGGCAGAAGTCCATTGCCTTGTTTCTTTATTTCTCAAGAGAAACTTAGAAGTCTTTTGACAGGCAGGAAAGTTGGTTATAGACACGTGAAGAGCAAACAAGCAAAAGAGTTGTGGGCCGGGGAGGGAAGGAAAAGGCAGTCCTCGACCCCAGCCCCCAGACGAGCCACAGCACGCCGGCAGAGACTCGATACTCTGTCTGGGTTTTTCCAGGTCCGCTTGTGCACGCGTGCGCGTGTAGTTCCTGACAGCTGTTGGGTTAAGGTGGGAGGGACGCTGCATGCTGCGTCTCTGGCACTGAAATAATCCACAGCAGCTGCTGTGCAAAGCTGTCTGACTGCATCAGCTTCTAAGAAAGGCTTGTGGATGACACACTAAGAAATGAAGGTCTCAGGCCAGTTGTTTTTTGAAAATGCTTCAGTTAAAAAATTACTTTATTATTTCTCTTAGTGTGAATTTTCTCTTCCAGTCCGCAAAAGAGGCTCTTATCCTGGTGAGAGTCTGATTTAATGAACTGAGATAACTTAACACTGGCTTCTTAGAATGACCCCCCGAAATAAATTCTACAATAAGGAAATTTTTTTTTACTGCATTTATTTGAAAGGAAGAAATATCCTACCAGTCACTAGGGAGCTGCCCTTTCCTGGTTCCGTGGAGGGTGAGGTGAGGGTGCGTGTTTTGTTTCCTTCTTTGTAAGGGTCTTCTCCACGTTCAGCTCACATCGCAGTAACTTGATTCATCCCCGTGGCCTTTGCAGATCGAAAAGATAGGCCTGCGGACAAAGGACATAAGAAGCTTTCCAGCTCTTACAGAGCTTGTTGCCGCTGCGAAGGACCAGGCAACGGCGGGGCAGCCTTAAGCATCTTGGAAGAGCCCAGGGGAGAGGAAGTCGGGCCTCGCGCCTGCACGGAAGAAAGCGGCTCTGTTCTCTCATGGCCTGCAGCCAAGAAGCGCTTGCACAGGGTCCCAGCAACGCGCCAGGACGGCCTCCCACCGCAGCGTATTTGGGTTTTCTTTCACCCAGAAAGAATACAAAAGCCTTTTTCCGTTGTATGGAAGATAGTTTTTAACTAAGACATTTGCAACTTTCTACTATAGTTTACAGAGCAAATTATTTTATTTTTATCGTAAATCTTAGCGTGGCAGAGCTGATTTCTAAAATATGATTCAAGGAAATATATATATGAATATAAAAAGTCGTCTCCCTGATCCTGCAGTTAGAAGTGGCCGGCTGCAGAGGGGTGACCATACTGTGTGCAAACGCCCTTCTCCACAATGCAAGTAACTGCCCACTTGCTGACTTTCTGGAAGACGCAGTCCTGGTGGCTCCCCCTCCCCCGTTAGGCGTTCAGGAAGAGTGCAGGTCACCCAGGCCTCTGTCAGGAGCAAGAACCAGCGGGGGGATCGGTCTCCTAAATAAAAGAAGAGTCTGCCAAAGCCTGTGTACCTCTAATGTGTGAATTCCGCACAAGTCAGATGCCCCTCCGCAGTCATGCCTCTGACGACACGTCCCCTCTTCTTGGCACCTGCAGGGTCCTGTCCACCCAGAGCCTCCCTTCAGGCGCATGGCAGTTCTGGTGCAGGGGAGGGTGACCCGACGCACCTTCCCGGCAACCGACGCCTGCGTGTCGGGGAGGGAGAAGAGTTGGGAGTGCTGGAAAGAGGTACTGAAAGCGCGTGGCTGGTTCGTCGGTTCGCAGGTTCACACGCGCGTGCGAGCGCTCGTGCCGGGCCGTGGCACGGGCCCCTTCAGCCCAACGACGATGCGAGAGCAGGTACGCCTCCTGCTCTGCCTTTGCGTTTCCTCGTGGCTCAGTCTGGTCGAAGGTTAGCTCTGTGGGGGAGAAGGGTGACCGGGAGTTAAGGGAGCAGACCTGGGAGGCATCAGCGGGGATTGGGCGGTGGAGCCAGAGCATGGGCGGGGGAGGGGAGGGGAGGGGAGCCCCCGGGAGAGCAGTGGGCGCAGCTGGGCAGCGCTCTGGCCTCCTCCGCTCCCCGCAGGGAGGGCCCCGCCCTTGGACGGATGGGCGTCCTAACTCTGCGCAACATTAGGAAGCTGGCCAGAGGCGCAGGAGGGCGAGTGAGACCGTGGGAGGGACTGGTGCGAAGGGGCTGAGCCCGCTTGGCCGGGGGCGCCGGCGCCCCATTGTGCGGTGCTGGGCCCGTGGGCAGCAGGGGCCGGGGCGGGGAGAGCCGGCCCCTCGGCGCCGCCCCGGAGCTGCACGCACACCTGGGAGTTGGGGCGCGGCCTCGTGCCAGGAGGCGAGCCTGCAGCTCGGCGTAACGGGGTGCGCTGCACGCGCTGCATCACTGCCTCCGCGTCGCGCGGGCTCCCTCGGGGCCTCGGCAGCCACGTGGCCCGGTCTCAGTCAGCGATAGGCTCTGGCGCTGTCCCCATCTCCCCGGCTGCTTTGCCTTTATCGGTTGTTTCAGGACGTGGTGGACAGGGATACAGTTTATTAGCCCCTCCAACTCCAGCACTGTTGTTCCCAGTTTGCAGGTGAGGAAACAGAAATTAAGGAGTTGAGTCGGTAACAGGTTTGGGATCTGATGACATCCCTCGGGGGCCGTGAGGCGCGTTCCCTGGCCGTCCTTGGGCCGGGGCTCGTGCCCAGCTGGAATGTCAGATTGAAGGGACCTGTAGTTGTCAGATGATGACCTTGTCTCTGGATACGCACTTCGCAACCCCAGGAAGACGCACGGTTGGCTGCAGAAATGTGTAAGAGAAACCAACCCCTACCGTTAACCCGTTAATCCTTTGTGTCAAGTGGTGCACAAGACGCCGGTCCTGAGTATCCTTGCAGCATCCTGAGCCTTCTGCGCATCTGAAAGAGCTCCGGAGCGGAGAGCGGCGAGTCCGTTAGTGTCCTGCCGGAGCGGAGAGCGGCGAGTCCGCTAGTGTCCTGCCGGTTGCTTTTGGAAGTAAGGCCAGAGCACAAGCATCCTCGTCCTCTGGCCGCCGTGGTGGGGCTGCCCCAGGTCTATCCAGGCGACTTCAGCCAAAGCTGGGCACCCAGCGGCCCTCACAGATATTTGTCAGATGCAGGAAGGCATGTGCTGGGAGGATTGTTTTGAAAGGCAGCTCTGAATCCAGTAGTCAGCACCTGTTTTGAAAATAAAAACCGTTTTTCGTCTGAAGTTGTTTTAGGAATTACAGAAGACACCATGATGGTTGTGGTTCTGATTTGCAGATGCTTCTGTCCCCTCGAGACCCTAACTCCAAGTGGTGGGTCCTGACGGGTGGTGGCCACGTTCCCGTCTAGAAGCATGTGCTTGGAGGGGAGGTTTTGAGCATCGCTTAAAGCAGTGCTAAATTCTAGGTGATCCCCGGGCCTCCTGCAAAGATACAGATTCCGACTCAGGAGGTCTGGGCGGGGCCTGCGGGCCTGCCTTTCTCCTAGGCTCCCAGGGCCGTGCTCCCCCGGATGCTAGCGGAGGACCCTGCCCTTCCTGTGCAGCTCCGCGGGGCTGTCCTCACTCCTTGCCCTGTGGCCCCGTGTCGCATCTCCCTTCTCCTCCTCTAGTCTCTCTGTTCCTCCCTCTTAAAAGGAGACCTGTGACTGCACCCAGGGCCCACGCAGATAATCCAGGATCACCTTCTCGCCTGAAGGCCTTTAATCACATCTGCAAAGCCCCCTTTGCCATCTAAGGTCACATTCAGAGGTTCTAGGGATTGGGACCTGGGCGTCTTTGGGTGCCATTATTTAGCCTGCCACAGCTGCCCACAGATAGGCACCCCCTTCCTGCCGTACTTTTGCGGAGCAGGACTTCCAGACAGGGAGGTCGTGGCCTTTGTGTGGACTGAGGGCCATTGATGTATTGGTGGTGGTTATTCAGTTATTCATTCAGGTGTTTCCCATTTTACAAATAAAGGCAGGGAGGCCCAGAGAGGCAAAGTAACTGGATCTGGGGCACACAGCAGTTCGTAAGTGTTGGAGCTGGGCTTCCTGCCCAGCCGCCCATCTCTGGGATGCCTCTCATGTGCCCGACGCAGCAGACTAGACGGCTGGGAAGGACAGCGGTCTCCCCTGACATTGAAACTAGGGAGAGGTGTTTAGACTACAGAGGGGGGCTTGGGCGTGTGGGGAGAGAAGCTGAGCTGCTGTCCCCTGCCGGCCTCGGTGGTCGGAGGAGCAGACGCCCACCCCGTTGCCACAGTTCCGTCCGGAAGAGCCGGGCCCTTGGAGCGGATGCAGGGGCCCAGTCTGGGGTGGGCGGGGCAGCTCCTACAAGCAGAGCAAAGACGCCGTCCACTCCCAGCCCTCGAGCCTCCGGCTCCCTCCCCTGCTCCTTGGCCCTTATGGGTAGTGGCCACACTTCAAGACAGCTTAGTCCTTTCAGTGTTCATGGAAGGCAGGGACTGAAGGTGCTCTGCGTGCATTCCACAGTTGGGGGCGAGCAGCATGGGCCAGCCTGCGAGGGCCCACCTCCCTCTCGGGCTCTGCCTGAGACTTAGAAAGTGGGGGACAGGCAGGCACTCAGCAGACGGAGAGGGATGTGCCCACGTTCACGGGTGAAGTTTTCTCTCCACCTTCCGAGCCCAGCCTCTGAAAGCAGCAGTCCCGGGACGTGTCCGGGAGGAAGGGCCTGGCTGTCTGCCGCCCGGTGCTTCCCAGCGGGCTCCGCGCAGCTGGTCTGCGCACCTGGAACTTGTCCAGATGAGGCGAGGACAGCCTGTGCCTTCCACGAAAGCCCCGTCCAGACACGGCTCCAAGGCCGAAAAGGCCCTTTTGTCGGTACAGCCTGTCAGCTGCCTTGCACACATTAGTCCCGCTGCTGCTGCTGAGTGAAAGAGGTTTTCATTTTTGCTTACTGTTGCAAGACATTTATTAACACCGCAGTGATAGCCAGCCATGGGATTACAGTCTAACGTACATTCAGACGCTTGTGTTGTTTTTCGTAATGTGTTTTTCAAAAACCACAAGTATCAGGGGAAAGAAAAGCTGAGAAACCCAGAGAAAGGAACGCATCATGGACCACTTGCAGGTCATCGTCACACTCAATAAGCCAAAGGTGAGCCTGGGGCAATGAGAAAGGGATGTTTTAATTTTAAAGCCCGATTTCTGTCCTCGATGAAAAAGGAAAGCATTTTGGGTTTCAAAAACAAGCTGGTGTGTTCAAGCTCTTTCAGGAGCAGTGGCCTGTACCGAACACGGGCTCATGGCCCTGCATCCCCCCAGCCGCCTGAGAAGGATGCTCATTGTACACAGCGCGCGTTTCCCAGGAGGAGCGGCCGCTCTCGGCCCCAGGTGGACGCCGTGGAAGAGAACGGGGACGGGTGGTGACACCGGCGGTGACACACGGCAGCGGGCCTCACACAGCGCTCTGCGGGTTGGACACGCGGCCCAGGAAGTGCAGGGCAGCCGAGTCTCGCTCCAAGACGGCCAACAGGAATGGGCTGTTCAGGGTCACCTCCAAGACCTCGGGCCCAGCTGGCTGTGGTGCAGACTCCGTGGGCTGCTCTCCCTCGTCTGCTTTTAGCTCAAAGAGAACGCTGTTCAGCACCTGCAAAGCAGCAAGCCTGGGGGTTGCTCCTGAAGGCCCGGGCCTGGGGGAGGACCGCTCTCCAGCCTGCCCGCCCTCCCTCGGCCTGACTCTCACCATGTGATGGCTCCTCCCCAAAGTGTCCCCCAAACCCGCCCGTCTCCACCTTTCCCTGCTGTCCCGGGCAGGTGCTTCTCTCTGCGAACTCAGCACAGAGGGCTCCGGGCCCAGGACTGTGAGCCACCCGGCCTCCCCTCCCTCCCAGCGTGCAGGCATTTCTCGGTTGCGGGCGTCCATCGCCCCCTGTGCCCCAGGACCGTCCATCTGCTGCTAAGTGCGTCCCTGAAGCCAGGAGCCGTGTGGCAGGGCCAGCAGCCGGCCTAGAGGCACTAGTCTCTGGGTCCCCGTCCCGACCCTGCTGTAGAATCTGGGGAGGACCCGAGGCTGGGCAGGTGGGACAGAGCCCAGAGCACGTGGTGGGGAGAGGTTTGCCGCTCTCCAGCTGTCCCTGGCAAGCCCCAGAGAGCTCCGGTCACTTCTCTGCCACCCTGGGCCCCCAGCCGCCCGGCCACACCCTCCTCTCTCTCCTCCTACCCCCGGGCCACCTCTGTGTCCCTCCCACCCGTGCCTCCTGACTCCGGGAACACAGAGCCCACGTCAGGCACAGACGCCGGCGGCACGGTACCTTTCCAACTCTGAGGTTGGCATCGCTGATTTTGCCCAGGTTTGCCTCAGCGCCCAGCAGGGCGGGCAGTTTGGTCTGGGCAAGCAGGTCCTGCAGGTCGTAGGACCCTTTCAGTGTCAGCTGGGGCATGGTCAGGTGGATGGCCCTGGGGAGATGACACACGGTTACCAAACTCCAGCTGTGAGGCCCCAGGCCACACCGGACTCACGGAAGACCCGGGAAGCCGAGTGGCATGTGTCCCCGAATGAGGGGGCGTTTGCTAGCCTCACCCAGCTAGGGTGTCTCGGGAAAATTTTCAGCAACAAATACAATTTAAAAAACCTTCATTTTCTTTGAAATTCTGTGGGAGGGATGTTCAGTATTTAACAACGGTGCTCTCTGGGGGTTGATGTGAATAGTTGTCTATTCTTTTTTCTACTCCTTTTTTAGGTTGGCTGCGTTGAAAGCATACTCGTTGGTTAATTTTAAAACGCTGTCCTCTAGAATAACGTGTCGTGTCTTACTACCTTTCAGTGGTGAGCTCCCCGTGGGAGGGGGAGAGGGTACGATGTCAGCCTCTGTGCCGGGCATGTCACTTATGTCAAGTCAGTTCACCTCCATGTACTACCTCTGCCTTCCTTGGGCAACCCTGAGAGCCCATAGATGTTTCCAGTGATGCACCAGACCCTTACAGGGTTGACAGTACACCCATGTCCAGAGCAGCGCTATTCACAACAGCCAAAAGGTGGAAGTGACCCAGGTGTCCATCAGCGGGTGGCTGGATAAACAGACCGTGGCAGATACCACACTGGAATACTACCCAGCCCCAAAGAGGAAGGACGTTCTGACACGTGATACAACATGCATGAGGCTTGAGGACATTATGCTCCGTGAAATAAGCCCAACACGAAAGGACAAATACTATGTGATGCCACTTATAGGAGGTACACAGAGGAGTCGAGTTCATAGAGACAAAGTGGAAGGGTGGTCGCCAGGGGCTGCAGCGAGGGGAAATGAGGAGTTGTTAGTGATTAATGGGGACAGAGCTTCAGTTTGGGAAGATGAAAAGTTTCTGGAGACAGATGGTCGGTAGCACAAAAACGTGAAGGTATTGATGCCACAGAGATATACACTATAAAATGGCTCGGGTGGTAAATTCTATGTTATGTGTTTACCACAGTTTTTAAAAAATGACTTAAAAAGAGTTGACCTCAGGAGGCCCTCTGTGCCCCTTGGTGCCTGTCTCAGAATCTGGACCCGCTGCTCTGGGCCTGATACGTAAGCAAGCCTGATGCCCCAGTCGCAGTAGGAAAGAGGAACAGATGACCCAGGCAGCAAACTAGGGGAGTCCTGGAGTCAAGAGCAGCACCCCGAGAAAGCCCGCCTACTCCCAGGGCTCTTGAAGGGGTCCCAGGGCTCCTGGAAAGTCAGCCCCCAGGAAGCTGTTGGAATGCAGCGGATCACACACGGCAAAGGTCCCCTCTCAGAGGGAGTACTGACCGTGGGCCGCCCAAGCCTGCGGGTGAACGGAAGCATGGGGAAAAGCGGGCCTCCTCCCCTGCCTCTCCTGCACCCAGAGAGGGACCCAGAGAGCTGGGTCCACGGATGGAGGGTGCACTGGTGGGTGGAGGGCGCTCAGGCACCATCGCCACCCTACCCGCTGGGCGCCCAGGGCTCGGCCCACACCGCGCCCGTGGCCACCCATGCCCCCCACCGCCCAAGCAGAGCCGTCCATGCAGCTCCCCACTCCAGGGGCGCAGCCCAGGAGGGTCCAAGCAGTTTCCCGGAGCCGTACCGGGGAGAGAGATTCTTCATCAGGGTCAGGAAGTTGTGCTGGAAGGTGAGGGCCTCCACCTGCCGCAAGTCGGGAGCGTGGTGCGGCCGGATGAGCAGCAGGCAGGCATTGGCGCTGAGGGGCACGCGGGTCACAGAGAGGTTGTTCTGGGTGTCGCTCCAGTAGTGGAAGGTGCCGATGCCCGAGAGCATAGGGACCGACACGGAGGTGGTGTTGTCCACCCAGAACTCCTGGAGCCCCGGCAGCAGGGAGAACCCCTTCATCTTTCCTGGGGACCCGGCAGGAGACAGGAAGGCAAGAGTCAGGAGAGGGAAGGCGTGGGGCAGGGCTGGGCCGCAGACCCCCTTCCCCTCCCCTCCCCTCCCCCTCCCCTTCCCCAGCCCAGGCTGCTCTGCACTTTCCTGGCCCCCGAAGTTCAGCCCCAGGACCCCTGACCATCAATTCTTCCTCCTGCAAAATCCACCAACTGCCACTGTTGAAGGTGTAGTCCACACCAGGCCCCAACCTGAGGCCCACAAAGGAGCTGAGCTCGAGGACCCTACTGCGCTAATAACCAGGTAAACTCAGACCCAGAGCTGTCCTGGCCCCAAGCCTGGGCTCTGCCATGCTCACTTTAAAAAACAAACAACAAACCAGAAGAACCACTTTATTTCTTAGAGCCGTTTAGGTTCACGGCAAAATTACGAGAAAAGTGCAGGTCTTTCCTGTATGTCCGCTACTCCCCCCTCCCCAGCACACAGCCCCCCTACGACCAGCATCCCCGCTAGACGGTACGTTGGGTAACACTGAGGAACCGATGTGGCCACATCATCGTCACCCAGGGTTCCAGAGTTCACACAGTTCACGCCTGGTGCTGGACGTTTTACAGGTTTGGACAGACGCTCAAGGCGTGTCCACCGTTACACCAGCGTACGGAATCGTTCCACGTTTCTCGGTGCTGCTGGGGACGGACAGATGATCCGGTGACCAGTGGGTATGAGCGGAAGTGCTACGTGCTACCTGTGTGCTGCGCCCTGAAGGGGCCGAGCCCTCCCTGCCCCCTGCCACTCCCAGGGGCGGGCTGTGGCATGGGGCTTGCGGAGCTGAGCTGTTGCTGAGCAGCTCGCTGAAGGCGCTGGCACCTGGGGGCGCACCAGCACATCCCTCCTCTGCGGTCATCCCAGTGCCCTTGAACGGCCCAGTGTGGTTGTCCCTGGGAGAACAGGTGAGGTTGAGAGATGAGCCCATCGCAGAGTGGCCCTGGGGCACCTGGCACTTGGGAGATCCGAGCAGAGGTGACTTAAATGAGTCAGCGGTCCCTTCTCATTGAGCCTGAGGTCTCCAAGGAAAGGGGTGAGGGAGCTGGGGACAGGGAGCCTGGGTCTTGTGAGGAGGGAGTGGCCAGGGCACCCAGCCCTATCCTCCATCCTTGGAGCCCTGTGTGTACAGACAAGCTCGGCTTCGGGAGGGCTGCTCACGAGGAGCTGCGGTGTCCGTCCTCTGGCTCCCCAGGGCACCTCCACGCCGGCCCACAGACCTGGCAGGCGGCTGGTTAGTGTGTAGGGAAAGAAGGACTAAATTTTTTCCACCAACAAACTAAAAGGGAAAGAAGGATGCTGCCTCCAAAAAAGATACGGGAGTCTGAAACGAAGGTGGCTGCCCGCTACTCTCTGCTTGACTGAAGAACACAGCACCCTGTTCTCATCCAGAGATTAAGGACGTCTCGCCAGGTTAGGAAAACTGGTGAGGCCCTTTCTGGTGCCAGTGGCTCTCTGGCTCTGCCTTTTGGGGGGCAGGCCTTTCGCATTAAGCTCTCCTCCCAGGCTCCTCTTAGGGACGGCGGGCCGAGCTCACAGGCCCCCTCCACCCTCCATGGGGTGCGGCCACCCCTGGCTGCATGGCCCCTGCCTGGACTCTGCTCCCGGGACCTGTCAGCGCGGGGACCTGCGCCCTCCTGGGGTTAGCACCTTCCCCCTGCTCCCAAAGGCAGGCTGGAGGCCTTTTCTTTGTAGATTTTCAGCCTTCCAGGATATTGTCAGAGTAAGGAAAGGACCGCGCTCTGTTCAGCCTTCGCCTGTCCCCACAGCCCTGCCCTCCGACCGCCTTCCTTGTCTCTCGGCTCTGCTAGGTTGCAGGTCCCGATAGCACCTCACGCGCAGCCCTCCTCAGCCCGCTCCTCCGTTCACAGAGCCGAGACCTCAGGGCCTGCTCCCAGGAGAGTTTGCCGGGCGATTGCGTAACCTTCCAACCACTCTCCCAGCCTCCAGTCCCCACAGTGCAGGCCAGGGATGACCTCTGTGCAGAAAGTCTGCCACTCAGCTCCCAGACACCCACAGCTCCAAACTCCCAGCATCACATCCAAAGTCTCAAAGTCTGGCCCTGACCCATCTTTGTGGCCTTGCCTAACACTGTCCCATTCTCTCCTTCTGAGCTCAGGCCAAACAAAGCCACTCCTGTTCTGGTTCCTCGCCCTGACCTTGGCAGCCTTGTGCCACTTCCCAGGCCTTCCTTCTGTCCTCTCCCAGGTGACGCCCCTCGCCGAGTGCGCTGAGCCCCGGGCCACCTTCCCAGAGCGCCTTACCTGCAGCTCTGGGGCTGAGGCACTGGTCCGGGGGATCCAGCTTTCTGGTAAACCACAGTCAGCAAGCTGGGGGCGGGGCCTGTGCAGCCTCCCTGCTTGTCCCCTCTGAGGCGCCAGCTCAGAGTCCTACAAGTACTACATCCTCAACGATTGTTTTCGAATGAATGAACAGCCTGTGTCTTAGGCATTTTTTTTGGTGATAACCTCTCTCAATATGAAAGTGATGTAAGCAAACTGGTTATTTTTGCATGGGACAGTGACCTTCTCAAGGACGAGAGCCCTTGATCTTCTCAACAGACAGGAACCCGTCCCTTCTGAGCGTGGAGCTGGGCCACGGCCACGAGACGTGAGTTTAGAACCTGGGACCGGTCCCTTTGTTTCTCTGAGTCTGTTTCCTCACTGGTAAACGAAGGCAAATCACACCTCTCGCCGCGTCACGAGGGGATTCAGTGATGAAAGTAAAAGGATGCAGTGCAGTAGCTGCACATAGTAGGGCAGCAACGGGGGAGGCGGAGGCTCGGCCAGTGCCCATCCATGGAGCCCAGTGGGGCAGCCACTGCGTCCTCCGTGAGGGCGGCCCCAGGTACTTCTCCACATCTGCTACCCTGCCCCTCTCCAGGCCCAGCCCTGCTCAGCTGAACTGAGACGTCGGACACGAAGTCCGTACAGACAAAGACCTGCCACCCTCCTGCACCGGCCGGGGGCAGAGCCCCCCCGAGGGCTGGCCTTACCTTGGAAGTGGACGTAAGTGTTGAAGAGCAGGGTGCTGTCTGGGTTGACCCCTGTCAGGGGCCTGTCCATCTCCCACCCCGTCACAGCCTGCATGAACCTGTTGATCTTCTCAGCAGCGAGATCTGGGTCCGTGGACAAGTCTAGCGAGCGGGAGAGGGTGACAGGGGAGATGAAAGACAGGCCCTGCACGAATGGCTGCTTCAGGCGCAGGCCAGGGGCCGTGAACAGCCCGACCACCGTGGACAGGAGCAGCCTGGCCTGGCTGCCGGCCCCGCCCTGGGCCACCAGGAGGCCCTGGATGGTCTGCAGGGCGGAGAGGACCTTGTGACCATCCAGCCGGGAGGTGCAGCCCTGATCCTCCCCCGGGACGCCCAGGAACGCCTGTAGTCTGCTGGCCGTGGGGTCCAAGGCCCCCAGGTAGAAAGAGGTCAGGGTGCCAAAGAGAGCCACCGGGGAGAGCACAGCCCCGCTGGCCGCGCTCCGTGTCTCGCTCAGCATCTTGTACATGTGGAAGCCCATGAAGTTGAGCAACACCCCCACCTTCACGGCCCGCAGCCGCTCTTCGGCCTCCAGCTGCTGGGTGGCTCGAACCAGCTGCTCCCGCAGGGCCTGCTCGTCCACGGCGGACGACTTGGCCTGAATCGGGACAGGTGTGAAGGTTGGGTCTGGGGGCGACTCCGCCCTGGGTTTCTCCAGCTGGTCACAGCTGCTCTTGCTGTAAACAAGGAGGTGGAAGGGGTGTATATACACCCGGTCTGCAGGGGCCAGGCGAGCCCAGGCCAAGAGGCAAAGGACGGAGGCCCCCAGGCTCAGGCCAGCAGGAACCATCTCTGACGGGGTGCTCACTTCTGCGGACCCTGAAATATTTTGTGAAGGGTGAAAGAGGATTATTGAATGCCCTCTAGCCGTATTCCCTACAACCAGTCAGCACAGGAGAAATCCCTCCACATCTTAACAAATGTCGGAGAGGAAGTGGTTCAGAGCTCTGCGGAAAATATCTATGTATATGATCCCAGTGCAAACCGCACTGTCGTGGGCTGAGTCGTGCTTTCGTGGGGTTTTATTTGGGGGCTGGGTTTGGGTTTTGTTTTGTTTACATTTTAGAGTGGTGAGGATGCCTGAATATGAAGACATTTGTAGATTTTAAAGAAAAAATATGAAATGGCTCATGAAGTCAAGTAAAAAATGTAAACAAATGTTTTCACAAAATATCGCAAGCATTTTTCTTCAAGAATATGTGAGTGGCTTGTATTATTTTTACCTTGTGCTAATTAGTGATATGATGCTTTGGTCATAATTACATGTTTAACAGAAGAGTAATCTGGAAACATTTTAACTTATTTTTAAAGGAACACTTTGAGTAAAAAAGTATCATGATATTTATGCAAAAATTAAAAAATCCAAATGTTGAAGTTGATGGGAGACATGTTTACATACTGAGGTATGGGGAAGTCATTCTGGCTTATCCAAAGTGGAGCTGGGTGGCCACTGCAGTTGTGGTTTCAGACATGTTCCTGCATCACTGAGAACTTGAATTTTCTGAACTCTATCAGACTCAAGGACACCACCAGCCATTCTCAAAATCCTATCAGCTAGCAGGGGCCAGCTGCAGCCTTATGGTCTCAAGGTCTCCCCTTGTAACTATGCAACCTTTTTGGACCCCAACCAATCCTTGCTAAACAAACACCCTTACTTCTCGCCAGTGCCCGTCCTAATTCTTGACCAACAGCTTATGTAATTTTGCAGTTTTTGCCTTTACAATCCTCCTCTATTTTGTTGCCTGGTGGAACCCAATTCAAGTGCTTCCTGTATCTGTGTCTCCCTGCTATAGTCCCCAGTTTGGCTCAAATCAAAGAGTTTTCTATTCCTAATATAGATTGTTTATCGATTATTTTCGTCAACAAAGTCCTGACCCCCAGTGCCTCAAAGTGTGACTATATTTAGGGACTTCCCTGGTGGTCCAGTGGTTAAGAATCCGACTCTCAGTGCAGGGGACGCAGGTTCGATCCCTGGTCGGGGAACTAAGATTCCACGTGCTGCAGGGCAACTAAGCCCACGCACCGTGACTAGAGAGAAGCCCGCTCGCCGCAACGGAAGATCCCACGTGCCGCAACTCAGACCCGACGCGGCCAAAACAAAAAAATAAAAATAAATAAATATTTTTAAAAATATATTTTAAAGTGACTATATTTGGAGACAGAGTCTTTAAAGAAGTAGTGTAGGTTAAATGAGGCCATCAGGGTGGCCCTAATCCAATCTGACTGGTGTCCTTATACGAAGAGGAGATTAAAACACAGACAGGGAGGACTACTCGAAAATACAAGAAGGCGGCCAGGAGACCGTCCTGCAGGCCAAGGAGAGAGGCCTCAGAAGAAGCCACCCCTGCCAACATCTTGATCTCGGACTTCCAGCCTCCAGAATCAGGAGAAAATAGATTTCCGTTGTTTAAGACCCCAGCGTGTGGTACTCGTGGCAGCCCACGGCACTAATATGCCCACATGGTTATGGCTATCAGTTTTCCCCAGAGAACAAAACGTGGGGCAGACGGCAGGTCTTTGTGGGCCTCCAAGCCCCAGGGTAGGTGGTACACCAGCTTGGAGTACAAGACTAACACACACACAGGTTCTTCCTGTGTTATAAATCAGCCTGGCAAGAGCAATCCAGCTGTGTAGTATCCCTGGGGAATGTTCCCCTCGTTTCCCAGCTCTGGTGTATAATCTAAGAAAGGAGACCTTATATTTGGTACGTGACAGTTCACCAAAGCCCTTTCCCATAGATCATCCTATCTAACCATTCCACGATCGCGTAAGGAAGGAATTGTTTCCCTCCTTTGCAGACACACAAAGGGGAGTTCTAAGGTGTGGAGAAATGTTCCCAAGGTCATACAGCAAGGATAGAGCAGACAACCGATTCCAACTTACTTTACTCTCCCCCGGTTCTCAGGGGACTCACCCGGGAAGCCTCAGAAAGTATGAAGCCCTGGGCCTCACCACCAGAGATGCTAGCTAAGTGGCCCTGGGGAGGGGTCTGGGGAGGGGATTTTAGTCTCCCAGTGGTCTCAACATGCAGCTGGGACGAAGCACCGTGGGCTCAGCCCGGGGAAGCCCAGGCATCCCTCACCTGCGTCAACCCCACACCAGCTCCCTCTTCCCTGCGAGTGGAATCCCCGAGGAGCTCTGTCACCCCGCCAAGCCCCACCCACCAACAGCCCGATTTCACTGGTCTGGGTCGCGTTCTCCCAGGCGACACGGATGCGCCGCAATGGTTTAGAGCCTCTCCTGAGACACGGGTCACCCGGGGCGGGCGGGACAGTCTCCAGCACCCTTTGGGCTCAAGGGCCCTGCGACCCTGCCCCAGCCTCACCTCTGGCCAAGAGCACGGCAGTGGGCCGAACCCCTGGGAGCGGAGGCCCCTGGGCAGCTCTGCCCGTTTATTCTGTGATGGTTCTCACTGAGAGGGCGAATGCCGCCTGTACGGCTTCATTCAGTTCTAGCCATTTTTACCGACACCTCCCTCGTGGTTCTGAAGGGGTGTGCTGTGCTACCAGGCTACTGCTCAGCTCCCCCCCACCCGCCACCCCGCTGCCCTCCCAGAGCTGGCCTGGGCCTCCTTGGAGCTGTGGGACGTCGCCTCCGCCTCCAGGTCACCTCGAGGCCTGGACGCTTCCCGCACACCCATGCACGGCCGGTCAGCGTGCTTTCCTGCCCCAGGCGTGCTGACTGCAACTGCCCTCGGCAGCCAGCCCCCACGCGTTGTGTGCTCGCCCTGCTCTAGGCGCCGGGTTGCCAAGGGAACTTTGACCTCTGGTCTCAGCCCCTGCCTCCCCTCCTTCCAAGGCATTTGACACAACCCACTGTTCTCACGAGGAACCACACGACACGGAAACAAGGGACGGAAGATTCTCCCTTCTTCATAGGCCCTCCTGGTACGCCGGCCCAAGTTGCCGGCTGACGTCTCGTGTAAAAGGATGTAAAAGGCCACAGCAAGTCAGGTCGCCGGGGAAAGCGCTGGGGCCCGAGCATGCGGCACCCCTTCAGCGACCGGCCTGAGGGTCCCGGGTGGGGGCCAGGCAGGTGATCGCAGCCCCCTGCTGGCGTCCTGGGGGCATAGCACCGTTCCAGGTGATTTCCGAGCCTGCCGCTGGCTCTCACTTGGGGTCCGTGGCCGCAGCCCCGGTTCTAAGTCGGCACCCGGCCGGTCTGGCCTGACGCCCTCTCCTTGGGTTCCATTCTCTTCCACCCACCCGTCCTTGGCCTCCCCCTTCACCAGCCCCTCCTTCTAGGCTTCTCTACTTCTCAGGGCCCCGTGCGTAAGGGTAATGGTGAGGACGGCAGCTAAGGCATGTATAAGGAGGATCACTGTTGTAGCGATTTCAAGGCTCGTCCTCCGACCCCCACAGCAGCCCTACCTTCCTGCCCACGCCTCGCCGCCACCAGATTTCATGCTGCGACTGGCCCCGGCACGCCAGGTACTCTAGACTCACTCCCCCTGCCCTCCTTCCCTTCCCCATGCCACTGGGCACCTGCCACACTCTGTATCACTGAGTTATTCTTTTATTTCTTCTGTTTAGCGTGTACTGCAACGCTAAACAATGAATGCAGATCCCACAGGAGTGAGGCTCTTGCTCTGTTTTGTTCACGGAGGTGTCCCGCATCCCCCAAATGTGTCAACAAGTACTCAGCAAGTAGTGGCTAAATGAATGGGTTAGTGCTGTTTTGCAGAGGAACAGAGAGGTTCAGAGACTTGCTCAAGGTCACACAGCCAGTAAGAGACAGACCTAGTATTCAAACCCAGAGCCCCTGACTCCACAGTCCACACTCTTAAGCACTAATCTATACTACACGTGAGCCAAAATAATAAGACCGGGTCTTTTTCGTTTATTCTAAAGTTTAGGAAGCACTTTCAGGTTGTATTAGCACTCTTAATTTATAGCACAGTCCCTGAGCAAGGGAGGCCAGGCGTTGCCATTGGTTCCATTTTATAGATGAGCAAACCAAGGCTCAGGGAGCCCGGGACCAGAGCCAGCACTGCCTCAACAGAGCTGCAGGAGACGAGGCCACCACTCCCCTGAGCCCTGTGCGGACGCAGCCCGGGCTCACTGAGCCTGCCCTTCCCCCCAGCTCCACTGCCTGCACAAGCCTTGCTGCCCCTCTGGCCAGAAGAGGACCCAGTGGACTGTCGACCACAGTGAGTCTTCTCCCAGGCCAGCCCCGCAGGATCCAGCCCTGCTCAGAGGGACCGGAGGACCCGGCCAGCCTGCCTGTCGCTGACGGGAGCAGGTCCCCTGGTGAGACCCAGGGTGGGCTCAGAGGAAGGACTGCCTAGGCCTGGGGGAAGAGACAGCCTCAGCGTCTTCAGCGGTAATGTCCGCCGCAGCCCAGGTCACCACTGGCCCCTGGCGCCTGCGTCCTGGGTGCTGTTTAGCGGTGGCCTTCCAGCAGCTCTTCCCTTGCCCCCAGCAGAGCCCCCAGCTTTCTTCCCACAGCGGACAAGCCCCCCGCAGGGAGAGAGCTGGGGAGGGGTAGGTGTGGAGAAGGCTCCCGCTTACCTTCTGCTCTCGTCCCCAAGACAGGGGTGGCCTCTTCCTCTGGCTGGGCCACTGAGGCCCTATTTATGTCTGAAGGGTGGGGACCGTGCCGTTCCCAGGCTGCCCTGTGCTCAGGCTCGGGGGAGGGGTTGCATCACGGCGCCAGGCCATGGGGGTGGGAGCCTCAGGCAGCTGCCCGCCTCGGGGGACAGACCCCAGGCCAGGCGACTCTCATGCTGGGCCCCTGTCCAGGAAGCCAGGGAGATCGATGCACGCTGTTGCCTCTGACAGACTGAGCCGGTACACAGTCAAGTTACACATTCACTGAAGTTGTCCCGAGCAGAGGCTGTTGCTATGGGACACGGGAGTGTCCCGTGTGGTGGTGTGATGCGTCTCGGCCCCCAGATGTG